GACTAAGGGTAGACAAGTAGTAAGGAAAAAAAAATTTTTTTTCAGAGCAAATACTTCTAAAAGTCTATTTCTTTAAGGTATTACCTTTTCCAGATCTCTTTACTGATTTAACAAGAAAAGTAAAAGATCTTGTCCCAGGACCAAAGTTTGAGATCATGCTGGGGAGCAGCACTGGCAGACGGTTATCTTTTTTAATTAATGGGATAGTACCTCTTTTAAGAGGAGACAGGGGAAAGCCACCAGACCAAAAGTCCCAGAGGATCATTCATGATTAAAGGTCCCCAGGATTAAAAGTCCAATCTAGAAGTGACATTCAGTTGATTATTTTCTTTTTAGATCATGTACTGTCATTGACATTGCATATGTTGTTTCAAAGGTCACACATTCATGCTCTCCTCCAGTTTAAGGCAATGTGCATTATGTATGCCAAGCATTATGTAACTTTGATTTCTGGAAATGGAAGCAGCTGAGACTAACCCTAAAAATAAATTGCTCTGGGTTTTTTTTTTTTTTGGGGGGGGGGGCAAAAACCCATATGCTGTCAATGCAGGTTCATCATTACAAAAATCACTGTTTGGATCATGCCAAGAGACAGAGAAGTCATTAGAAATCCTCTTCTCCATATCCTCCCAATAGCAGCTATGCACATTCCCTGCATCCCCAGTGCATGCACATTCTTTATGCCAGAAGGTTTTCCCAATCTTCACTACAAAATAGGAGGGAAACCTGGAGAAGGAAAGCTCATGTCTATTAGATTTTGTACAAGTTATATATTATGTCATACTTATTATGTCTTACCTATAATTAATTAAAAATAGTTCCCATTCCATCAATAATCACAAAATCATATGTAGGCCTAAATCCATGTTTTTCTTTTCTTACCACTGATTAAGCAGATTTACGCATTTTTTATTTTGGTTCCCCAAATAAACAGACAACATTTACCTGGCTTCAAAGTCTGAAAGAAATTTGTCCTTGAATACTTTTTTTTTTAAATGTTAGGGATCTAACCCAGGGCCTCCTAGACAAGCACTCTACCACTGAACTACAACTACTCAGTGTAGTTGGATTTCCAAAAATTGAAAATTTTTGCTTTTCACATATGATGATAGAAGAGCAACTCGGAAGACTAAGGCAGGAAGATTACAAGTCCAAGGCCAGCCTCAGCAACTTAGTTAGAACTTGTCTCAAAGTTAAAAAAAGTTAAAATATTAAAAATTTAAAGGAGATAGTAGGGGATTGGGAATGTCGTCAGTGTTAAAGCACTTGTCTTGCATGCACAAGGCCTTGTTCAATCAGAAAAACACCAAATATGGGGACAGTTGAACTGAGTGAGATCATAACATGAAAAACCCTAAAAGTGCTTAAAATTAGTTTGGTCCTTCTGCATTGAAGTTGAAATATAAGCACTGTTCATTATACTGTTAAGTAAATGTCTGGTGTCTATTTATTGGCTAATCTTTTCTACTGTAGCTTTTATATTTTCATCTTATTATATGTAGATGACAGTTTCAAGTAAATTTAACATTAGAAACAAAAATTAATTTTAATTAAGCCATATAGAAGGCAAGATTATAGAAGTGTTACTTATCAAATTCTGCCAAAGGGCACTTCTGTGTAAACCTGATAACTGCCAAGGCCTACACCCTTCTCCTTTTCAATCAAGCAACAGTCACATCCTCCCCTTTCTCACTTAAGGGACTTTCAGGGCATGAGAGTAATAGAAAACCTAAAGCTTTCAACCTCCGAAATGGAATTCATATTTTAAAAAAAATTGGATGGGTGCAATGGCATACACCGATAATCCCAGCAACTCTGGGAGCTGAGATGATCCAAGTGAGGCCAGTCTCAGCAATTTAGCAAGCCCTAAGCAACTTAGCAAGACCCTGTCTCAAAATAAAAGGGGCTGGGGATTTGGTTAGTGGTAAAGCACCTTTGGGATCAACCCCTAGTAACCTACCCCCCAAAAAGAAAAAGTTTGAAATATAACTCATTTTGACTGGTCAAGCCTTCGTCTTCCTGGTCAAAGATATACTGGAACAATTCACAAAAAGCAGTTTACAACTGAAATCCCATGAGCATGACAACCCTTAATGTACAATTCACCTTGATATGATTTCTTTGGCTTATTTCAAAATTCACTATGTAGAGAATAGAAGCATGGAAGTAATCACAATACAGTTAAAATGTCCAATTGCTCTTATGACTTTTTCATTGTCTACACCAAGTTTTCTAACTGTTCAGATTTCTCTCTAGGTGATATTTCTGTATAAAAGGAACATTAACAGATTAAATTTAGCTCAAAGCTCTTGAGAAGAATTCATCCAAGGCTTCTAGTTCACTTATAAGAAGCAAGGAAGCAAATTTTAAATCATTGGGTATTGACTTTTTATTATTAGTCACTGTTCATAATTTGGTTCAACCAAAAGACAATACACACAGCAGAATTCTAATGCATCCCATGTAAATGTTTACATCCATTTTATTCCTCACTCGCCTCTAAGACTTATCATTTAAATTCTTTTTACATCTCAAAAATATGTCTGCAATAATTAGAACTTCATTAGCTGTCCCACGTGGAGACAGCCTTTTAATATTTTTTACAGTAAAGAAGAGGTGATGGGGCTTATTGAAAGGGTAACTTACAACATTATGAAAGAAAAGGGGACTTATAGGAACACAGTGGGAATTCACACAGGAAAAAGTCCAGAAGCTCTTTCCCATGAGGTCTCCAAATAAAAACAAAAACACAAAGCGCAAATGCAGGTCTGAAAAAAACAAAACTCCAATGCTCCATCTTGAAGCCAGAATCAGCCTCGTGGAAGTTTGTGAAGCAACTACACAAGCTGCTTCTGCATTTACTTCTGTTTAAGTGTTCCAGGTTCTGGAACCTTGTCAATGGGACCCACTCACTGCTATTGCTTGAAAAATTTTTCACTTCCAGTTCTATAAGCAGCCCCACCCTCCTCAGCCAAAGATGATCAGAAGTGTTTTATTAAACTTCAGGGCTTTTTGAGTAACACTCAATAATCCTTCCAACTCCTAAACTCATGAATACACAGACATGTATAACTGTTCCCCAACCATCCACTTATTACTCCCTAACTCTCAGTTTAGGACACAGTGGTTAAAATACATTCGCTAGAAAAAAATAAGCACATTCAAACTCCTTGTTTTCCCTAGTTCTTATGGCCCAAATATAACCCAAAGCAGAAGATAATAAAGTTGAACCTCAAAAGCAGTATTCCCTAACTTCCAACTCCTCTAGAAGAACATGAAAAGGAAAAGCATGTCATGTAATCGACAGAAATGTTCAAACTATTAGTGCTGAACAGTTTTTAGGTCTGTTTTCATCTATGAGTGGAACAAACAAAGGGTATGAACCAAACCTTTAACTTAGCAAGAGGAAATAATTTCCTCTTGAATGTTAACATTGAGGAATGTTTCTTTAAGTGAGAAAGACCTTAAAATGAACAGATGATCACTATACACAGCATAAAACTTCCATGACTATCCAAACCACCTCAACGTAACAGCACCAAGGCATTGTAGGAGAAGCTTCAAAAGGGACAGCACCCTTTCTACGGTTTTTTGAAATTACTTATATGAATTCTCCCTTAAGATTACTGGGGATGGGAGGGAGGACAGAATACAAACTACTCTCAAAAAGAGACAATGAGGTACAAGTGCATGTGAAATTGCTGAAGTAAGCGTGTGAGGGTCCACTGCTTATCACCCTGGGATTATTAAATAGCCACAGAAATCACCCTTTCTTCACAATGGCTCTGGAGTTGTAAAATCCATTCTAATTTGCTCCCCCTTGAATGGTTATACTCTAGAAAGAAATTATTGAAATGTGAAAGTGTTCACAGAAATTAAGAGATTTCTCCTTCTAGCTGCAAGGCCAAGTGAGAAGAGAACTAATGCTGATCCTAGAAACTAAGGCACGCTGAAGCTTTCAAAGATCAATCATTTGAAACAGTCTTCACAACCATCAGTATCCTAGGCAGTTCCATGGCGCTAGTCCTTCAGTATGGTGCTCAAGTTCAGTCTCTGAAATTAACTCTTATTCTACACAGCACACCGTGCGTTAAGGCCATGATTATTTAATTCCTTTTAGACAAAGCCAGGGATGATCATAAATTCTACCTCAAAACTCTGATCACCCAAGCAGATGCTTTGTAGTACAGTAGACCCTTTGCAGCTCCATTAGCTAGCACTGTCTTACAGAATATTCTTGAGCAGATTTCTTCAGAGAATCAACTTGGTTCAACTAAAAAACAAAAAAACAAAAAACCTGAGCTGGTTAGCTACAAATTTAAGGGAGAAAATAAAGCCTCTACACAAAGAGGAATGTTAAGACAAATTCTATTCAAGAAATCCACCAATATTATGTTAATCCTATCAAGTTTCACAGCATTAAATATCCATCCAATGAAATCAGTCTGCGAAGAAACCTTTTAAAGGCTATTTTTCATCGCACAGGCAAAGCGTTTTTCAGAAGTATGCACTAGTTCACACTTATTTTGCCAAAAACAGGAAATCATATCCTATTCTTGACTCCGTCAACCAGTTACCCAGTGGAGTAAGTTTTAGCAGATCTTGTTCCTGTATACTTTTAAGACCAGAAATTTTCCCTTTTGGAGCCTTTAGTTCAACTCCAGTTTGTCAAATGTCAGGAATAGTCTAGCATCTGATACAGAGCTAGGTTTGACAAGACACTGAAGATTTTAAGTAAAGGCTTGGTGAAATGAAAGGGAAAGAAAGATTTAAAACTGAAGTGAAAGTAGTCATTGTGTACAATACAGTAACAATTGCAAACATTTTAAAAGCAAGGTGGGCCCCACTTTCTCTTTGTTCTGCAATATATAAGACATGGTGCCTGTATACTTGAACGTACATAGTACATCCAACACGTACCAAAGGAGAATCATTTCACCTCATTCCAGCAAGGTTTGGTAACGCAAGGGTCCTTTCTAAAAAGCACTCGGCACTCTTACTAGTTTAAAAAGCTCAAGTCTTTAATGCAGATATTCATGAGATTGGTTTCTTTCGAGAGACTAATTTCTCAGACTCAGGAAAGTATATTCCTACTCTATGGTGACCATAAGATTCTTCTGACATAGGGGGCAAGGAAGCTACAAGGCTTCATTCCAACACCATGAAGTACAATATAGGAAAGATTTCTTTAACCGTGTGGTCTTTATTTCAGTGCCAGTGTTACAGATACAACACAAATGTTCCAGTTAGAAGAAGGAATCAAACGGAATGCCAAGGTCCAAGCCAGGCTCAGGAAATAAAAAGGGAGGTTTGGAGTAATGGATGACTCCTGTATGCTCCAGGATGAGTCTGACACTCACTCATCCTATGGGCAAAGGTGTAGTTAAGGAGTCTGCTCTTTGAAACTGGTGGACTCCTCTTTCCACCCATTTACCACAGTTCAAATGGGCAAGTGATGGGCTCGGGAGAAACTTTAAAATTTGTGATGGGAATAGCTCATTAATAAGAATTAATGCATCTTTTAGAAGGTGTCCACTTTGCACTTTAAGTGGAATTTACTTTGAAAATCATGGAGAGTATTCATGACTACAGCTAAGGAATGGAGAGAAAAGGGGAGCTGGAAGAGCCTTGGAAATTTCTATTACAAATAGAGCACCATATCCTTCATGCCAATCTCAACAAAAGCTCTTTTTAACTGCATCTGTCCAGTGTTTACAAATAAACTCTCAAGGTCTAATCAGTTCTTGATAACAAACATACATACATGTGTGTCTGTCTGTGTGTATACAGCAATGCACAGAAAAGGCTACCAGGAGCCTAATGCCTCTTTCAAACATTGGGGGAACCAGAGAAAAAGGCAGGGCTCCCTAATGTCCATTGTTATATTTCCATTCCAAATGCCAGATGTAAAAAGCGCCTGAAGATGGTCACCCAGCTAGTGAGGAATAAATACCCCACCTTGCCCAGTCCACAGAGAAACAACAGTAGAAAGAAGGGGCACTCTTTGCTGCAGAGACAGAGTGAGTGTTTTCTCGCCAAGAATTCCAGTCCTCTCCTCCAGACCAGCTGCTAATTGCCTCAGGGGCCCAGGGAATGTTGATACCGGCTGCAAAAGTGGGAGGGGTGGAGAAGTGTGGAAACGGGAGAAGAGGAAGAAGAGTGCAAAGTAGCCTCCAGAAGCAGCCAGCCTCAACAGTGGAGGAGAGGACATTAGTCTTTAACAATGCTTCAAGGTCAGCAATAACTTCAGGAAAATCCTCCTCAACAGTTCTCTTCAGCTCCTGATGCCCATGGTACAGTTGGGGGGGACTTGCCAGCAATCACAACCTCCTTCTCAGAGTTCCTTTGATTGAGTGGGGTAAGAATGAGAATGGTGCCAGACCCTCATTGCCAGGACTGAGGGGGAAAGTTGTTCACCTCTGCTAGATCTTGCATTGCTGAGCCCTTGTGATTATATGTGAGCTTGATCCGCATTCGCAGCTGTTGCTGTGAACGTGAAAGAGAATCACAAATTAATACACTGAAATAAAATATCCACAATATGTCCAGTCCACAAATAGACCATTTAAGAGATAGGCCATTTAAGAGAGAGAGAGAGAGATATCTCACTATGCTGCTCAGGCTGGCACTGAAGCCTTTTTTTTTTTTTTTAATATTTATTTTTTAGGGGCTGGGGATGTGGCTCAAGCGGTAGCGTGCTCTCCTGGCATGAGTGCGGCCCGGGTTCGATCCTCAGCACCACATACAAAGATGTTGTGTCCGCCGAAAACTAAAAAATAAATATTAAAAAATTCTCTCTCCCTCTCTCTCTCTCTTTAAAAAAAAATTATTTTTTAGTTTTAGATGGACACACTATCTATTTTATTTTTATGTGGTGCTGAGGATTGAACCCAGTGCCTCACGCATGCCAGGCAAGCACAATACCACTTGAGTCACATCCCAAGCCCCTGGCACTGAGATCTTGAGCTCAAGCAATCAATCCCATCTCAGCCTCACAAGCAGGCAGGCCTAAAAGCATGCACCACCATGCTCAGCTCTACAAATAAACCTTTAATCATAAAGGTAAAAAAAAAATTACTTAAAAAAAAAAGAAAAGAAACAGGCAGGGCCAGGCATGGTGGCCCTGTAACCCCAGCCCTATAATCCCAGCAGCTCAAGAGGCTGAGGCAAGAGGATCAAAGTCAGCCTCAACAAAATCAAGGCACTAAAGCAATTCAATGGGACCCTGTCTCTAAACAAAAACACAAAATAGGGCTGGAGATGTGGATCAGTGGTTGAGTGCCCCCTGTCACACCCCACCCCCCCCAAAAAAGGCAAACCACCAAAATGCCTAGTTGTCTAGCTTTGAGCCAAGGAGACAACATCATGCCTTCAAGTAGAGGAAGTGCATCTCAAAAAAAACAAACTGTGGGCCCAGAAGTGCATTAAAAGGACAGAATCACTCAGGAGCATTTGCTGAGTGCTTTTTGAAAAAAAACTCAACACTTGTGTCCAAGTTTTTAGAAAATTAGGTAAACACACACACATCTCATGTTCTGCGTTCAGATAAAATGTTGCTTTGTCTATGAAACCTACAGCAAAAGTGAACATAAGCTTTTTGCATTCACAAAGCATAAATTCAGAGATAGCAGCCACAGTTACAAGAGAATATAATTCTTTTTTTTGTTTTACTTTATGTGGCATATTTTAAAAATTAGTGCGCTAAGGAAGTTTTTACTATATGTATAAGGGGGCCAAAGGAATCTGTGCTTGTACTAATGACAGATGCTCCAAATACAGTAAATAGCAAAGGAAAGGCAAAGTGTTACAAGAGTATAAAATTATGCTGGTCATTTTAAGTAACTACTAGAAATCTTTCAGGGTAAAAGAATTATCTGAACCATTTTCAAGAACTATCTGAAAATCAATCAGTTAATTACTATTAAATAAAATCAATTTACTTCTTTGAGAAGATATAGTAAAAATATTGCTTCATTTCAGTTTCTAAAGCTATTTTTCATGTGACTGCTTCATGTTTTTATACCTCCACTTTTGCTATCCTTACTTAGTAATTACAGCAGTAAATGTGGATATTTGGTTCAACAAATGCTCTTACCTCAGATTTCAACTTTGGCATAGATTTATATGTCTAAGCTTCCCCCTCTCCTCAAAACTATACCTTTAATCCTCAAAATAGAGAAAAATTTTAGCTGCATTTTAATAAGATGTCACTAATCCATTTGAGGTCTCTGGACTCCATTTATTTTCTACAAAAGAACAAGGAAGTTAGACCACGTGTTTTCATAGATCTCTGACTATGAAAAACCCAGAAAAACAAAGCAAAAAAGTATATTTCAGGAAGCAAGCTTATATCTTGCTCAGATACTGACTTCAAATATGCTACTCACCTTCTGTGGGTTCAGAACTTTGATGACTTGTGTGATGGTCCCCGTATTAAATGCTGGGACAATGCTGCTGCTAGGAGACAGAAGCTGCAGCTGGAATGTCTAAGGAAAACAAAGGGCATTCTTCAGAAAAAGTTACACACAGTGTTATGTCAAAGATATCAACAAATAAGCAAAATACACCCAGCTGATGGATCAACCAACAGATTTACTGTTTTGTTTCCACATACTTCATAGTATGCAAACTGTCACTCATTGTTTTTGTTTTGTTTTGGGGTTGTGCTAGGGATCAAACCACCAAGCTACATTCTCAGTTCATATTCACAGAATTCTTTAACACGCACAGCTAGGTCTTTGATCATGAAAACTAGCAATGAGCCATTCTCCCCTTTCTAGGAGAAGGAATTTTAGCCTAATACTTTTCAAAAATTCACCAATTCTTGTTGTGAAAACTTCATTTTGATAGTAACTGATCAACTATGAAAGAAAAAAATGGGTGCCAATGGAGGGGAAAGAAAAAAAAAAGGAGAAACCTAAGAAAAAGCTTTCTAAAAATAGCAATCCAACATAGTGTCACTAACTATAGGCCTTTATGTTTTAATGTAATTGAATATCTAGACCCCAAGACTTAAACTTTTGTTTTCTAAAGCTTGCATAATCTGGAATGTGTCAAGGCCTTCCCCTGCAGGAGAGGTGGAGGAAAGGTTTTGAAAGAGCCAGCTTGTTAATATGTAAGTAGAATACTTTAGGACTGCTCTATTAGGGACATGAGACTGCAACAGAAAAAGGAACAATGCAGAACTGGCCTGTACTGCAAGACCCAGATGAGGCAAACACCATAATTTGTTTGTGTTGGTGGATTTTATTTGTTTACAGAGATGAGAGGAAAGTGCTACGAGCAAGCTAACTAAAGCATACTGTACTAAGTAGCTATTTTATATATCATAACTTTAAAAACCTTTCCTAAGAGAGAGACTGACAGTCTTCTCTAAAGCCAAACATTACAACAAGATCAAAGATTCAATCTCTTCCTTTTTTTTGAGGTACTAGAGCTGAACCCAAGGGTGCTCTACCAGTGAGATACATCCCCAGCCCCTTTATTTTATTTTGAAACAACATCTCATTAAGTTGCTGAAGCTGGCCTCAAACTTGCAATCCTCCTGCCTCAGCCTACTGAATCACGGGGATTACAAGCATGCATCACAGCACCTAAAGATTTAATCTCAAAAGCACAGACTTATTATATTGGATCTTTTTCATAATTCTACTGTCAAGATGAATTATGTTTTCTTAAATGTTATTCATTACTACTATATTTCATTAAATTTAAGGTACTATCAATTGTAATTCACAGCATTATTTTATGTAACAATGAGAACGAAAACAGGCTACCCATGAAACTATGAAAAGATAATAATTTTAAAATGTGCCCCAATTTCAGATATATTAAAAAATGAAAATAGTACCTACAGTAAGATATATGAAATGTGACATTTTGAAGTTCAAGACATACCAAGACACATCATCAATATGCAGAGTGCAGTAAAACACCAATAATAAGACCATGCTTTAGTAGCAAAGGTAGCTTGCTAGGACAGCAGCCTAAAGTAACAAGTATAAAATCCTAAATTGCAGTAGCTACCACTTACTAAGCACTAAACACATAAGAGATGCTTCAAACAGCACCCAGCACAAAAAAGAAAAAAAAAACCATTTATTCCACAAATCAACCCTATGAAGTAGCTATCACTATCACTGCTCCCTTTGCAAATGAAGAAACTAAGACAGATTAAGTAACTTGCTTTCATTTCATACAACTAGCATTAAAATCCAAACAGAATGGCTCTTAAGAGTTTATTAGTGGTTCTAATTAACTTGACATGACAGCTTTAAAACAACTACATGCCAGGCCTGTAATTCTAGTGACTTGAGGCTGAGGTAGGAGGATCCTAAGTTAAAGGCCAGCCAGCCTTGGCAACTTAGCAAGACCCTATCTCAAAAAAAAAAAAAAAAGTCCATGTTATTTTGGCTCCTAAAAATTGTAAGCAAAGAAAGCTGAAAGTCAGCAGTAATCACAAATAAATCATCATCAATGTCTAAAAGCTTGCTGTCTGAAAGTTATACTTCCCTTATCACTGCAAAGAAGACATCAGTTTAGTCTAAACCAGGAGCTGACAAAAGGTAGCCAAACACCTGTTTTTTGTAAATAACCTTTTCTTGGAACAGAGCCACACTCATTCATTCACATATTGTCTGCAGCTGTTTATACACATTAACAACAGAACTGGGTAACAGCAAGGAACATATATACATATGCCCTAAAATAATCACTAGCTGGTCTTTTATAGAGAAATTTTGCTCGCCCCTCATTCTAAACTATTCTTTATTCAAAAACACATTCTTTAAGATTTGGTATAAACAAAACCCTCAATTCACAAAAACAAAGAGTCGTTATGTATCAATAGTAAAGCAGATGTTAATTAAGGAGAAACTTTTCTTTCGAATATTGAGAGAAAAAAATTAGTGACATGCTTCAATAAACCATAATAATTTCAATATTATTTAAATTAAATCTACAAATTTAATCTCTAAACATTAAAATATATCCTTCACCAAATGCAAGAAGAAAAAATCAGCTCGTCTTCAATCAAAGGGAAAAAAAGGAACAAAGACATTAAAGTACCTTTGGTACTGCAGCCTGGAAAACAAAGTCTGTCATGTCTAGCTCTGTGCTGTTAGAGGCCTGTATCGTTATCACAGTTACACTGGGGTTGGTGTTTGACCGTTCAAAGGTGAATTCTATCTTCAAACCGTTCTTACTGTATGCTGTGATGGAGGGGATGCCTGCAAAAGTACAGGAAGATCAGCCTTATTGTAGTTGGCCTAATGCTTCAAGAATTATTATTTCTTTTCCTTAAAAACCACCTCTCATTGCTCTGTGCTCCACTTGATGATGATAACAAAAATAACTATACCTGCAGCGATGTCATTGAAGAGAGGCTGGGATGAAAGGCCATCCAACAAGAAAGGGGGCTGGGATATCTGTGGGACTGAGGAAGGGGCAGGAGCAGCAGCAGGAGCACCTAAAGGAATTTTCCAATGGAAGTCAACTTTAGCAAGCATGACAAACTCATCAAGAAAACACAAATTATTACGATCTCAGGTTAAGGAAAGGATTCTTTAAACAATATGCAAAATGCACAGGCCAAAAAGGAAAATAATTAAAAATTCAAATACGTTAGATTGACTTAACTTCTGTTCATTAGAAACCACCATAAGGGGGAAAGAAAAAAAAAAAAAAAGAAAAAAAACCACAAGCAGGAGAAAATGAATGCTATATAATAATGAACGAGTTAAGTATTCACAACTATACATATCTTCTTCTACAAATCAGCAGAAAAAGAAAACCCAACTAAAAAAATGCTAAGGTACATATGAAGCAATTTATAAAAGAGGGTACCTGAATTTAAAGGAGATCTTATAAAATGGATGCTCAATCTGACCACAGTAATGATGGAAATGGAATTTAAAGCCACAGTGAGATGCTACTTCCATCCATCAAAATAGTGAAAATTCCAACGTCTGATAATAAAAATATGGAGCAATGGAGACTTTTATGCTCTACTAAAGAAATGGAAACTGGTGCAAAAAAACTAGAAAACAATTTGATAATAGGAGAGTTGAACATCACTATACCTTCTTAAACTAAGCTCCTCAACATTTACACTAATGAAAATTCTTTGAAAATTCTAGAAAATTCTTTGCAGTAGGCGGCTGGTGCATCATAGAATATTTAGTAGCACCCCTGGCTTCTACTCATTAAATATCCACTAGGTAAGAACCACTGCCTTTCTTAGTAATGCTTTTTATTAGCTCTTGCATATGTACATAGGAAACATATAAAAATTATTCCAAGCAAGATAGTTTCTAACTGAACAACAGGAAAGAATCAAAATGTCCACCATCAGCATAATGGTTAAGTCAACTGTGACATACTGACAATAAAATAACAAACACAACAAAGAAAATGTGAATTCACTAAAAATACACTTATGAATTATTTATGGATCATTCTCACAAATACAGTGCTTAGCAAAAAAAAGCAAGACACACAAAAAAGAACACATGCAGTTAGACACCATTTCTAAAAAGGTAAAAACTGGCAAAACAATACAACTGTACACTCAATTAAGGAAAGGTAAACATCAATGTGTTTACCAGCTGATTTAGGATAGTAAGCAGTTACCTATGGAATCAAGAGGAAAGTGGGGTTGTACAGCACTTGCCTAGCATGCACAAGGCCCTAGGTTAAGTTCAAACCCTACCACCACAAAAAAAGAAATAAATTTTAAATAAAGAGGAAAGAGAGTGGGGGAAAAACAAACCAAAAACATAACCTTCCATACTATTTTTATTTTATAGGCTAGGTAAATCAAGACATTTACTGAGTTTTATAGATGTTAAAAAATGCATAAGGTGGGGGGGGCTGGGGATATAGTTCAGTTGGTAGAGTGCTTGCCTCGAATGCACAAAGCCCTGGGTTCAATCCCTAGCACACCCCCCCCCGCCAAAAAATGCATAATAAAATTTTACCACATATGTACATTGGGAGGAGAGGGTGAGAGTGGAGTGGGGGTGGGGCATGCCACACTACCACTTTTATCTGATCCTCCTAAATAAGAACAAAGCATGCATCATACAATAGAAGTCAAATCACAGAACATGACTATAAGCTGAAAAAAATTAAGATTTTAAGAAAATTCAGCAAAATATAGAAAACACATTTTGTGTTTATAAAGATTTCAAACCACTCACGAAATTAACTGAAAATACATCATTTTTAAAAGAATGATAGCTCAGTGCAGAGTACATGCTTATATGTGCAAAGCCCTAGGTTTAATTCCTAGAGCTCAAAAAAAATAAACAAAAAAATTTAACACAATGAAATAAATACAGAGTGGGATATATCTTTTACAAAACCAAAAAAAAAAAAAAAGATACTAAAGAACACTAGGAAAAAAATCCAGCATACCAAAAATTAGCAAAGAGGGTAGAAATATAGATGGTTAAGCAAAGCACAAGAAGCAAAAACAAACAAGAACACCACAGTAGATCTACCCATCCAAGTGGATTATCAATGAAATATACAAAGACATATTCATATAGTTCTCCTAGCTTTATAAAGCTAACATAGTAATTTCCCCACCAATTCCCACTTTCAGAAGAATTTTAGAAATGTGTTCTTACAGAAAATTTGAGGCTAAATAAGATCTATGCATAACAGATGGGTCCCTAACTCCCTCAAATTTTAGCTTTTGTCTCCTGTAAAAAGTATAATAATTAGTTTTGAGGAGCAACAGAAACTCCCTACTGTCAGACCCTCTTAAAATTCATACTAACTCTATTCCCAAATTTCCAATCATTTTATATTTCTGAATAATAAGTTATAACTTATCAATTAAAGAATCTAGAATTCAAAATTTTAGACTTAAAAAATGTAAAGAAACTAGGAAGACATTTAAAACACATTATGAACAAGGAAAAGGAAATCTAGGCTTTTAATATTTTATCATTTTGCTTTTAGATACAACATTATAGAAACAACAAACAACAAAAATAAAATGAAATATTAAGACTCTACAATAAATGAGTTCAGAATACAAGAAAGTTCAAACAGGATTTTCACCTGTAATGCAAATATATGTATAAACATTAAACATTCCCTGATTAAAAAACATTAATAAAAAAGAGCGGAAATTTTCACCTTATTTAGGAAGGCCTTTTCATTTGTTTTCTTTTGTGGGGAGGGCAGTACCAGGAATTAAACCCGGGAGGTGCTTAACCACTGAACCACATCCCCATCCCTTTTTATTTTGAGATAGGGTCTCACTAAGTTGCTGAGGCTGGCCTCAAATTTACAACCCTCTTGCCTGCGCCTCCCAAGTCACTGGAATTACAGGCGTGTACCACCACACTCGACTCTATTAAGGTTTTTTTAAAAAATATTTATTTTTTTTTAGTTGTAGTTGGACACAATACCTTTGTTTCTATTTATTTATTTTTTATATGGTGCTGAGAATGGAACCCAGGGCCTCATACACACTAGGCAAGTGCTATACAACTGAGCCACAATCCCAGCCACAATACCTTTGTTTTTATTTATTTATTTTTATGCAGTGCTGAGGATCGAACCCAGGGCCTCGCAAGTACTAGGCGAGCACTCTACCACTGAGCCACAACCCCAGCCCTCTATTAAAGTTTTTAAAAATTAATATACAGGGGCTGGCGTTGTGGCTCAGTGGTAAAGCGCTTGCCTACCCCGAGTGAGGCACTGGGTTCGATTCTCAGCACCACATATAAATAAATAAAATAAAGGTCCATTGACAACTAAAAAATATTTTTTAAAAAATTATATACAATGCTCTACAAACTAGTGGCCATATAAATTAAGGAAATCAACAGCAAATAATATTTTCAGGTGAATACTATGTGTCATGCACTGAATGGGTCAGCAGTCCTCATCAATATCCTATGAGGTAAGTATTAATCATCCTTATTTTAATTAGATTCAGAAAGACTAAGTAACTTAGTCCTTAAAATAAGGACAAACTGATATAATGATATTTGTTGAAGAAACTAGATAAGAAAAACCTAGAAAAAAACAAAATGCCCAATAGTAAGGAAATGAGTATATAATAGTGCAAACTTGTTGATAAAATATTGAACAACCATTTAAAATTATAAAAATGAAGACTATTGATGTTCTTTTCTAATGATTCAGTATAGTTTTCACATTTAAGGATTTGAAATTTAATATATGTAAATGACTCAAAAGTACATGAAAAGTAGTATTTTAAAATTTTGTTAAGACACAGATATAAATCATAAGCTCAGAAAGCCTGCCATATTAAGGAAAAATCATTTAGTCTGTGATGGTGAGCCTACCTGACCATTCAACATCCTTATCCTATGGCTGCTTTCTACTTGGGTCACATATGTTATAACTTCCCATTTTACCTTTAAAGAACACACTTTAACTTTTCAACTATACTTGACACTGCAATCTAGGATAAAAATTATGCTCCACAGTAATAATCTCAAACACAAGGGTTCATATTATTACAGAACAAATCAATTACAAATGTCTACCATTATGAAAAAAGACAAGATAAAATATTCCCAAATGAAAAGTTACATTTGAATTAAAATTATGGACAATTTCTCTTTCAGTTGCTTCAATTATTATTAGGAAGGGTAAAAAGGAAGGGAAGAAGAAAGGTAAGTAGTAACAGGTTAATATCTCAACAAAAATGGCCACAGCTATTAAAAACTAACCATGAATAGAAAGACAACCAGAAAAAGTCATGGGTTTAGACACCACCTAATGGTGAAGGGGACTTGGAATATAATCTTTTCAACCCTGAAAGAGGAAGTTCTTCCCTTTCTATCTTAAAATACTACAAATAATTTACTCTCCAAAAATTAAAGTCTTCAAGGAATCCCTATGAATTACCTTCACTGATCATTAGCATGGCAGCTTTTTTCCCAGATGTTGTAAAGAGTTTATTCTTGTTTTGTACTCAGCCTTTCTTATCTTCAGTTAATTCATGTGCTGGAAAGTTTGTGATCAGTGTAGTTTTTCCACAAGGCCTCTATCACCATCCAAGCTTTAAATAACTCTAATCTGGCCTCACCTGTAAGGGTGATGTCTCCAAGTAAATCAAGAAGTTCTCCACCAGCAGAAGCTGGTTTGCTCGTAGGTGCAGTTGGAATAACAGGTGTTATGTCATTTCCTCCCAACAAATCCAATAAATCATTGGCCTAAATAAGGAAACATTACCTCAATTTGTTACTTGTCTATAAACTTCATCTAATGCAAGGCACTTTTAATACTTTAATAATGAAGGGAATCATCAACCAATCCAAAAGCATTAAAAGTAATCAGCCAAAACAAAATCAGTCACAAGATATGATGAGATCATTAGGAATCCCAGAGAAACAAGTGCAAGGATACCTGGCTGGTGGGCTGCGGCCCAGAGGGTGGTGGTTTGGTCTCTAGTGGAGCTGGTTCTGTCTCTCCATTTGTCTGCACAATCTCAGTAGGGCCATTTGTGGTCACTTTTTCCATAACAGGCATTCTTTCAAGTAGGGCAGACCTAGAAGAATCTGAAGTGGTTAAATTCTAGGCAGTGAACATAGATTCCCTACACAAAACCATCACTATTAACTATTTTGAAGACTCCTTCTCTCTCAAAACACACACACACACACACAAAATAGAAGGTGGATTATAATAATATGACCTAAATTCCTGAATAGATTAAGGGCAGGCAAGAAACTATACATAAATAAACTGTCCAACTAAATACCAAAACATGTATTTCAATGGTAGAGAGACTGAGATGAAAAAAAGATAAATCAATAGGTGGATATAGCCAGGCATGGTGGTGGCGCATCCCTGTAATCTAGCTACTCAGAAGACAGAGGCAGGCGGTTAGCAAAGTCAAGGCCAGCTTGTATAACTCAGGGAATCCCTGTCTCAAAATAAAATTTAAAAGGGGACTGGGCATATAGCTCAGGGTACAGTGCTTATCTAGAATTCACAAGGTCCTGCATTCAATCCCCAGTACTGTCCAAGGGGAAAAAAAAAAAAGTAGACACTCTGTAATGGAAGAAAAAAAAAAAAAGGCAAATACCAAAATGTTAATAGTAATGGGATATGCATGAGATTATTTCTCTTGAAAGCAATACAACCCCCACTAATTAACCAAATAAAATGGAAAATGTTGCCAACTTTACAAACCTAAAAAAGACAGGGGAGTTGCAACAGAATGAAAGAATACTGTTAATTCATTTCTTTAGAGACTAGGAGCAGAAAAAAAGAAGGAGCCAAGCAATGAGAATTAAGTAGGGTTGGTAGGCCCGCTTATGGACTGCAAAAGGAATGAGTCTCTCTTAGGGATTATTGTGACAACTTATTTAGGATGCTAAGATGCACATGACATTGCTTATTTTCTTTTGCTTACCTCATATGGTCATATTTCTTAAAAAGTGCATTATATTCTACTGCCCTCTGCTGGAGCTCTACATCAATGCTGCTTCCATAGATGGAAACCACTTTCTTAATTCGGCTGCAGGATAAAATAACAAATGATATCAAACACTCAAAAAGTCATGAAAAAGAAGAAAGAGTGACTCACCAGTTTTCTGGTTAAAATTTCAAAATACTATTTTCTTAATTTACGTAATTTTTCAAAAACAAAATACTTTTATCTTTATTCATCCAATACTCACCATTATATATTTTAATTGTAAAGTTAGCTTTCTGGCTGGTATATATCCCATACCCTAAAATCTACATAAAAGTACCAATTATTACTTTACCCCAAAAGAAACTTATACTGTCCATTATCTTCTTTAATAATAAGCTTTTAGCATCCAAATGCTAACCTCAAATTCTTGGTTCACAATTTAAAGAGTAAATCAAAAATACCATTTCTTACAAGACCTTACAATAAAAACTGAAGCAGAAAGTCTAGGAGAACTAAATTTGCTTTAAATATGCTTGGCTGGAAAACTGACCCAAGAATCAACTTTTATTCAAAAAGCCAAAAACAGATTGTAAAGATTTAATCACCCTAATACTTGTGATTCTATTCTGATTCAGACATCTCAAATAAATTCTCTACTTTAAAAAAGAAAAATGATATTACAAATCCGATATTCTTTTATGTTGTTGTTGTTGTAGTATATGGACTCAATGCCTTTATTTGTTTTTATATGGTGCTAGAATGGAACCCAGTGCCTAACATTTGTGAGTGGTCTACCACTAAGCCACAGCTCCAGCCCACAAATCTGATTAAAATAAATAAATAAATAAATAAGCTTCAAAAGGGAATGAGGGGGTTAGGCTGTAGCTCAGTGTCAAGAGTGCTTCCCTTGCATGTGTGAGGCACTGGGTTCGATCCTCAGCACCACATAAAAATAAACAAACAAAATAAAGGCATGCTGTCCATCTATAACTACAAAAAAAAAAAATAAGACATTTTTTAAAAAAGAGAATGAGGGGGCTGGGGTTGTGACTCAGTGATAAGAGCACTCGCCTGGCACGCGTGAGGCACTGGGGTTCGATCCTCAGCACCACATAAAAATAAAATAAAGGTATTGTGTTCACTTACAACTAAAAAAATATTTTAAAAGATGTGGGGAGGAATGAGGTTGGGGGAATGAAGAGAGCAAAGTACAGATGAAATTAATCATTGTGGGTGTGGGATAATAAGTACAGGCAAACTCATTTTACCTTCTCTATGCTTCTGTCTATGCTTAAAATTTTCTAAATTAAAATTTCTAAAAATTATGAAAGCATCTGTTCACCCTACTTTTCCTCAATACTCACTTTACAGTACAGGTGAAACGAGTAGAAAGCTTCATAATGGCAGTGAGGGCATAACCTCGTGTTACAGAGGTGGACATATTAGAGATTAGGACACTTTCTAAAATATCCAACACTTCATCCTCTGTTACCTGTGGATTAAAAAGAAAAAAATTAAAAAAGACCACACAAATGAATGGTAAGAATAAATGCTTAAATCTAATGATCAAGTCAAAGGATGCTGCCCATCATTTTAAAAGCCTCTATCTAGGCATTATGGCACCCACCCATAATCCCAGTGACTTGGGAGCATAAGGCAGGGGAATCAAGAGTTCAAAGCCAGCCTCAGCAACTTGTGAGGCCCTAAGCAACTTAGTGAGACCTTGTCTCAAAATAAAAAATAAAATGGTCTAGGATGCACCTTAGTGGTAAACATCCATGGGTTCAATCCCCAATGCCCACCCCACTCCACCCCACCACCACCTCTCCCAAAACACAAAGTCTTAAACACAACCTGTACTTTGCCAGGGTAACTGTCAAGCTGTTCCATCAATCAGAATGAGGAGGCTGGGGCTGGGGCTCAGTGATAAGAGCGCTCGCCTTAAGAGCGCTCAATCAGAAGAAAGACCACTGGGGCATATTATAATTTTAAGTGGCAAACTTAGAGGAAGACAAGTAAAAGATACAAAGAATTAAAGAACTATTGCCACAATTTTCTCAAAAGTCAGTCCTTTGGGCTGGGGCTGGGGCTCAGTGGTAGAGTGCTTGGCTAGCATGTGTGAGGCATTGGGTTCAATCCTCAGCGCCGCATAAAAATAAATAAATAAAATAAAGGTACTGTGTTCATCTATATATAAAAATCAGTCTTTTCCAGGTGTGGTGGCACACTCCTGTAATCTCAGCAACCCTAGAGGCTGAGGCAGGAGGATCACAAGTTCAAGGCCAGCATCAGCAATTTAGCAAGCACCTAAGCAACTTAGCAAGATCCTGTCTCAAAAATATCAAAAAGGGCTGGAGATGTAGCTCAGTGATAAAGCACCCCTGGGTTTGATCCCTAGTACTCCAGAAAATAAAGCCCTTTGATGTAAAAGAAAACGGAAACCTAAGTTTTGGTTTTGGTGGTCGGAACTAAACCCAAGGCTATACACACTCTACTACTGAGCTACATCCCCAGCCCCAGTAAAATGGTTTTTAAATCTCACAACACTCCAGTAAGTTCTGTCTTCAAAACTGGCACATTTCCCAGTGTAGTTCCATTATTACTTCTTTACAAACTTTTCAAGTAATCATAATCAACTCCCATTAAACCTGTTTTTTCCCCTCCTTAATCAAGAATGACAAGAGGTACCTGAATAGGCTCTTCCTCTTCACATTGGCCAGATACAAGAAGATCACCATATTCACCTATACACCATGCAGCTACTTGTACCAAAGGTTGCTGTCAAAAGAAAGTCAAGGACTTTAATTTTTCCAAAAACACTTAATGCAAATTCATCATCTAATCAAAAGGTCAAAACTGAACACATCTAGAGTGTTAGTAACAGTGGAATACAGAAAAACAAAACTGTAATTCTTTCCAAGTATAAACAATGGCAAATGAAGTACTTACTTGAGAATAATCACCAAGAATTGCTTTGTACAAGCGCTGAACGGTGTAGGCATGCATCTCCACACTATTGGTTATTAACTGGATCAAATTGGGGACTGCATCATCACGAACATAACTTCCTGCCTAAAAGGAAATTCAGAGTTACGCTTAGAAACACAGAGCAATGGTAACAAATGTTGTTCTTAAATAGTTTTACCAAATGTTATTGAAAAAAAACCACTATTAAAAACCACCCTCCAATAAGCCAGATTCCAATTCTCAGGTCTACATGCAGCTTAAAATTCAAAGCCTTACTTTAAAATATGTTGTTAGATTTTTAAAAAATCATCTCTTGTTCCAAATTAAAAGCAAAACAAAGTTTCAAAATTTCAAGAAAGACCTAAAATTTCAAAATTTTAAGACATTAACTAGGAACTTAATTACAACTACCTGTCACTTATTATAAGTTCCCAACACTGGTGTCTGAATCATATATGCAAAGTAAATGTCACAGGGAACAGGGGCATCTCTGAACATTGCAAAAGGGCATGTTAAGTTTTTAAAAACAAGTTTATATTTAAAATATCAAACTGTCCTTTATAAACTATTTACAAATCTTATACAATCAATCATAGTCCTAGGAATGGAAGATATTTGTATTTAATTATTCATCCTCCATCGCCCACCCACCTTTTTAATTTGCTCAATTTAATGTTCTCGTAACTATTAGAATTTGAGATAGTATTTGCAATCATGGAACAAAGAAAACCATTTAACCTATTCGGAAAATATACCTTGGGCTTATTACAGCATTATAACAGGCTTTGTAGGACATACAAACAGTGACATGCCTAATATTACCAACCTTGGTCAATGGTCCATTACTGAACAAAATAGCAAAGCTGACTTATAAGACTGAGACCAGGTCTAATTGTGTATTTTTTTTTTTGGGGGGGGGGGGGGAATCTAGTTGACCGGAGTGCTTACTCCAGTTAAGAAACACAAAGACGGGAAAAGTTTCGAAAAATGATCAAAAACAAAGTGAGAAGCTTTTAAAAAGAGAGAGAAAGAAAGAAAAGAAAAAGGTAATTTGTGATGAGACCTGGATATTTACATTCGTCACTAACTAGAAAAAACAAAGTGCCTTTTTTTTTTATGTGGTGCTGAGGATCAAACTCAGTGCCTCACACATGCTAAGCAAGTGCTCTACCACCAATCCAGAACCCCAGACAACAAAGAGCTTTTCTGTTGTTTTGTTTTTTTTTTTTTTTTTTGGGGGGGGGGGTTGTTTGTTTTTGGTACCAGGGATTGAGCCCAGAGACATTTAACCACTGAGCCACATCCAAAGCCCTTTTTGTATTGTATTTAGAGACAGGGTCTAACTAAGTTGCTTAGGGTTGCACTAAATTGCTGAGGCTGGCTTTGAACTCAAGATCCTCCTGCCTCAGCCTCCCAAGCAGCTGGGATTACAGGAGTACACCACAGCGCCCAGAAGCAAAGTGCTTTTAAGTAAGATAAAGCATCAGCATGACCTAAATAACAATTACGAATTACTACACAAACATCAATCAGCAGGAAACAGCTTCCCAAATTCCTACTGAAACAAACAGAAATCACATTCTAGGCCATAAAAGAAAAAAAAAATCAACAAATTTAAATAATAGAAATCATACAAAGTGTGTTCTTAGACTACAATGGCATTAAACTAGGTATCAGTAATGAAAAAAAAAAAAAAACCTGGAAAATTCCCAAAAATTTGAAGATTAAAACAGCACACATCTAAATAACACAGGGGTCAAAGAAGACATTACAAGAAAATTAGTAGACCAGTATCTCTGAGGAACATGGGTACAAAAATCTTCAACAAAATATTAACAAATCAAACCCCACAATGTACAAAATGAATTATATACCATAATCATGGGACATTTATTCCAGTCACATAGGTTGGTTCAACATTCAAAAATCAATGCAATACAGGCAAAAGAAAAAAATACAGTATGATCTTAAGAAGAGAATGCAGGGGCTGGGGTTGTGGCTCAGTGGTAGAGCGCTCACCAAGCATGTGTGAGGCACTGGGTTCAAGCCTCTGCACCACATAAAGATAAATAAATAAATGTATTGTCTACCTACAACTAAAAAATAAAATAAAAAATAAAAAAAGAAGAGAACGCAAGTCAAATGAAAAAGAAAAGCAGTATTTTAAAAAAAAAGTTTTACATTTTCATAAACATTTTAAGAAGCTCTAATTTTCCTTTTCTTCTAGGCCTTACAAAAATTGTCATGGAGAAAACAAGTTTATTTAAAATATCTTATTAACTTTTTAATATTTTATAGTTGTTGATGGGCTTTTATTTTTTATTTATTTATATGCACTACTGAGAATCAAACCCAGTGCCTCACACATGGTAGGCAAGCACTCTATACCACTAAGCCACAACCCCAGCCCCTCTTATTAACTTTTAACCTTCTAAAAAATTAATTTATGATAGGCAAACCAGAGTGAGATTGCTTTTTTTTTTTAATGTTTGGGGGTTTTTTTAGTATCAGGGATTGAACCCAGGGGTACTTAACTAGTGAGCTACATCCCCAACCCTTTTTATTTATTTATTTTTACTTTGAGACAGGGTCTTGGTTAAGTTGCTTAGAGCCTCACAGAGTTGCTGAGGCTGGCTTTGAATTATATACCATAATCATGGGATATTTATTCCAGCCACAGTCCTTACAGTCCTTTTCCTGCAGCCTCCCAGTTGCTAGGATTACAGGCATACACCACTGCACCCAGCTACTCTAGACAAACTAGAAACTACCATGCCCCAGACAGAATTCCATGAAATAAATACATCTAAATCATAATTTTAATGGTATCATTGCATCCTACTGATGTTTCATAATTAACCAATTCCTCTTTGGGAATTACTAGTGGTTTCTAGTTTGTCCCTATATAAACAAGATTGCGATGAACACTTTTATATGTACTTTTTAGTGCACTTGGACTTTTTTATTTTTCTATAGCATTTTTTCCCATAGCATTTATCCCTTCCCAATATTTTATTATATATTTCCCCACAAATTTCCAATCTCTCCTACTAGCATCTAAGTTCCAGGCGAAAAAGGGCTGTCTACCTCATTTCTCAGTCCACTCCATCACTTAGTAAAGGATGAATGAAAAGGCTACTTACGGTTGTTAGAACACGCATAATTGTGTCTATATGCCACCGTTTGGAAGGTGCATACCTGAGAAAGCAATGGCACAAATGAAAAAATTGGAACTGGTAAACTATACTGTATTTAGTGACTTTTGAAAATCCTGCCCTACAGTCTGTTCTAGGTTCCCTGGTTAAGTGATTATACTTGGAGACATTTTATCATCGAACCTAGCAGCATTTGTCATTTTGAAGGATGATGAAATATAGTCAAACTCAAATGTTTCCCATAAGACTGCAACAGCAGTATCTAGGCTGAAAAATGGGACTTTGTCTCAGTTTCTCAGAAAACAAACCATATACAGTCAGAGCAGGAGGAATAAAGAACAAAAAAGAAAAAGAACTTTCCCCAGACCCAGAAAACACTAGGACTGTGAACTTATTCCCTTAAATTTAGGGTGGAAAAAAGAGAAAGAATACCCATACTGATAAAATCTTGGGGTACTTCCTCCTTCAAGATCTACACAAACTTCAATTCAGATACTATATAACTCTTCCATTCTCTTCAAGCAATAACCTCATAGATGAGAGGTTGAAGAACAGATTAAGAGTTGAACTGATTTTGTAAAGGTGGGATTTTGCTTGGTCTTGGCAAACATGCTTAACTGTTGGCTATAATGATTTTCTTATACTTAACTTTAAGATTAGCAGCTTGAAATAAATGTTATAGTTTTTAGCCAAAATGATTATAGTATTTCCCCCATATTTTAAACATGCTTTCAAAAAGTTCCAAGCACAAGCAGCAAGGTGGTTCAACATATGGAAATCAATAAATATAATTCATCACATCAATAGACTTAAAGACATAATAAATGATTATATCAATTGATGAAGAGACATATGGAAATCAATAAATATAATTCATAATATCAATAGACTTAAAGACATAATAAGAATCATATGATTATATCAATTGATGCAGAGAAAGCATTTGACAAAATACAGCACCCTTAATGTTCAAAACACTAGAAAAACTAGGGATAGTAGGAACATACCTCAACATTGTAAAAGCAACCTATGCTAAACCTAAGGCCAGCAACGTTCTAAATGGAGAAACATTAAAGGCATTCCTTCTAAAAACTAAAACAAGACAGGGATGCCCTCTTTCACCACTTCTATTCAACATAGTCCTTGAAACTCTAGCCAGAGGAATTAGAGGAAAAACATTAAAGGGATATGGATAGGAAAAGAATAACTAAAACTATCATTATTTACTGACAACACCATTCTATACTTAGAGGATCCAAAAAACTCCACCAGAAAACTTCTAGAATTAATGAATGAATTCAGCAAAGTAGCAGGACATAAAATCAATACCCATAAATCAAATGCATTTCTATATATCAGTGATGAATCCTCTTAAAGAGAACTTAGGAAAACTATCCCACTTATAATAGCCTCAAAAAAATAATATCTGGGAATCAAATTAACAAAAGAAGTGAAAGACCTCTACAATAAAAACAACAAAAAACTAAAGAAAGAAATTGAAGAAGACTTAAGAAGATGGAAAGATCTCCCATGCTCTTGGACACGCAAAATTAATATTGTCAAAATGGTCATACTACCAAAAGCACTATACATATTCAATGCAATCCCAATCAAAATCCCAAAGGCATTCCTTATAGAAATAGAAAAAGCAATCACGAAATTCACTTGGAAAAATAAGAGACCCAGAATAGCCAAAGCAATATTTAGCGAGAAGAGTGAAACAGGAGGCTTCACAATGCCAGACCTTAAACTATACTACAAAGCTATAGTAACAAAACAGCATGGTATTGGCACCAAAATAGACATGTAGACCAATGGTACAGAATAGAAAACACAGAGACAAACCCACATAAATACAGTTATCTCATACTAGACAAAGGCACCAAAAACAAACATTGGAGAAAAGATAGCCTATTCAACAAATGATGCTGGGAGATTGGAAATCCACATGCAGCAAAATGAAAATGAATCCCTATCTCTCACCATGCACAAAACTCAACTCAAAGTGGATCAAGGACCTAGGAATTAGTCCAGAGACTCTCTGCCTAATAAAAGAAAAAGCAGGCCCAAATCTTCATGTTGGATTAGGCCCTGACTTCCTTAACAAGACTCCTAAAGCGCAAGAAATAAAATCAAGAATTAATAAATGGGATGGACTCAGACTAAAAAGCTTCTTCTAAGCAAAAGAAACAATCAATGATATGAACAGAGCCTACATTTTGGGAGCAAATTTTTGCCACATACATCAGATAGAACACTAATCTCCAGGATATATAAAGAACTCAAAAAACTTAACACCAAAAAAACCAAACAACCCAATCAATAAATGTTCTAAGGAGCTGAACACACACTTCTCAGAAGATATACATTCAATCAACAAATATATGAAAAAATGTTCAACATTTCTAGTAATTAGAGAAATGCAAATCAAACTAAGATTTCATCTCACGCCAGTCAGAATGGCAGTTATCAAGAATATAGACAACAATAAATGTTGGTGAGGATATGGAGGAAAATGCACACTCATACATTATTGGTGGGACTGCAAAATGGTGCAACCAATCTGGAAAGCAGTATGAAGATTCCTTAGAAAACGGAATGGAACCATCATTTGACCCAACTATCCCACTCTCGGTCTATACCCAAAGGACTTAAAATCAGCATACTATAGTAACGCAGCCACATCAATGTTTATAGCAGCTCAATTCACAATAGCTAAACTGTGGAAACAACCTAGATGTCCTTCAATAGATGAATGGATGAAGAAACTGTGGTATATATACACAGTGGAACATTATTCATCATTAAAAGAGAATAAAATTATGGCATTTGCAAGTAAATGGATGGGGTTGGAGAAATATCATCCTAAGCAAAGTAAGTCAATCCCAAAAAACCAAAGGCTAAATGTTTTCTCTGATAAGTGGATGCTGATCCATAATGGGGAGGGGGGAGGCATGGGAAAAATGGAATAACTTTGATTGAGGAAAGGGGAGGGAGGGAACAGAGTGGAAGGAGGGCAAATGGGGGCAAGACAGATGGTGGAATGAGATGGACATCATTACATGTACATATATGACTGCACCTACAGTGTGACGCTACATCATGTACAACCACAGATACGTAAAGTTGTGCTGCAATTGTATACAATGAATCAATATGCATTCTGAGATCATGTATACCTAATTAAAATAAATTAATTAATTTTAAAATAAGTTCAAAGCACCTTTTACCAATAAAAGTAAAAATAAAATCTTACTTTTCTGCAGCAAGAAAGATTCCAGATGCACAGTCTGCCTTAAATTCTGGCTCACAGGAATCCAGAAAATAAAGTAATTCCTTCATCATGCCTCGGATATTATTCCCATTTACGAGGGCAAAACTCAATTCCATTGCACGCCTTGCAGAAGGGCAAATTAAAAAATAAAAAATGATGATATTTACAGTGGAAATGAAACAAAGTCCCAGGTATGATGTCTCAGAACACCAAGTGCTGACATATGTGCTAATGTCCTTGTATAATCTTGTGAGCCCAATCTTACAAGCAAGATAACTAAGGAGATTTATTCTTATGTAATCAAATTTAGTTCTGATATTCTGAATCTTAATTCAACACTTTTCTTCAAAAATCCCTGAGAAATACTTTATTGATGACCAAAAATGCAGTTTTGGGTTCAACAATCTAGTCTATAAAACTGAAATTTATAATACCCAAAAGGCTGAAAAAGAGAGGCAACAAAATCATTACCCAATAGTAATTATGTCTTTGCATTATTCCTTAAAATATGATATATTCACTCACCACATTATACTTTTAGAAGATATAACACCATTTACATCAAGATATATGTAAAATTAAAACAAACTGAAAGGGAAAATGAGGGCCTTAAAGAGGAAACAAGCATGTGCTATGACTGCAAATAAGATTAACTATAAATGCCTATCAAATTTGGTAACAAATGCAAAATTAAAAATATTTAACATACCAAAATACTACATGTATTTTTTCATATTGGGTAAAAAAATTAAATACTCCAAATATATTGATTTTCAAAAATAACTATTTGATAATTTCATAATACTTTCATACAAGCAAAACCTCAATCCTAAAATGCAACTTGCTCTAATATAATACTTAATTTATATATATTAATTCAATCAATCCTATATAATCCTACGAAGTAGGTACTCCTCTATCTGCATTTTACATGCGAGGCAACTGAGGCACTGAATGTCTAAGTAAATTTGACCCACACTGTCAGCGTAGAACCAGCATTTAAAATGAGGCAGGTCTAGCTCCAGAGTCTAAGCTCTTATTGTTCTATATCCTGTCAAAGAGACAAAGGTTTTACTTTTGAAATTCAAAGCCCAGTAATAAGCTATAGAAAAACAATAAAATAAGAGTAAGAAGGCTTTATTTCTATTCGCAGGACTGCCCCTTACAAAGGTTAAGGTTCAGGGTAAGTAATTTCATCTGGTCAGGACTATATTTTAACTACTATATTTTAACTAAATGGGGGGTAGAAAGTAATTGTCTAACCTCTCTCACCGGCTTCCTCTGAGAACCAACTGAGAATGTGCTTATAAAATCCTATACAAGGGCTGGGGATATAGCTCAGTTGGTAGAGTGCCTGCCTCGCATGCACAAGGCCCTAGGTTCAATCCCCAGCACCACAAAAAAAAAAATATATATATATATATATATATATATATATATCTCCTATACAAGCTGGACATGGTGGTACATGCTTGTAATCCCAGTGACTTGGGCAGCTGAGGCAAGAGGATTACAAGTTTGAGGGCAGCCTCAGCAATCAGCAAGGCCCTCTCAAAAATTTAAAAAGGGCTGGGGATGCAGGTCAGTGTAAGATACCCCTGGGTTCAGTCCCCAGTACCAAAAAATAAAATCCTTTGCAAAGCATTACATGAAAGTTAGTATTCCGAGTTTAGATCTTATCTTTAGATTGTCCAAGAACTTAGACCCTGATTTGTACAAACAAAAGAAATTCATTATCAAACATTTTGTTAACCGAATGGTTTCAAAGACCGTTTTACAACTACTTTACTCTGTATTTGAACATACAACCAAAATTTCTTCAATGCTAACTATGGCTAGGTTTTCTAAGAGGAAAACCAGCAGAGTACACCATTCATTGAGAGAAGAGATTTATGCATTTTGACAGTGCTACTGGCTGCCTAACAGTCATTCCTAGATGTAAGAAACAAAGCTACCTCCAGTATGCTAGGTCATAAATACTGTGAAAAATGTGTGCTGTCAGCAATTTGAGTTTCAGCATCGTGTAAGACACTTAGCCGATGGATCACTCCTTATTTTCATCCTCCAACACACAAAGCACAGTATCTGTATTAAGTAAACTTTTGACAACTTATCTGTACTGTTATATTTATCAAAGAATCAAAGACAACTTCAGTGTGCACTTAAGTATTTCCTATTGGTCTCCTAAATTGACCTAAATGCCTAAAAAAAGGATTCACTCTACAGAGAGTTCATTTCTGAACACAATGACTAAAAACATAAAATGTCAACACTCTCTCAGAACTATTGTATGTAGGGGGGCATAGAATATCAATAACCAGTTTCTCTCACTTTATTTAACAAAAACACTGAACTGAGAGTCTCAGTTTGTTACCGTTTTATTGAGACATCCAAATCTTTTAGACAGTCCACAATTGTGCTTCTGTGCCTCTGTACTGCATTATGATCTGTCTGCACAGTCTTCAACAAAGATGTCAGAGCTACATATCTGGATGAAACAAAGTTGCAGAATAACAGTTAAAATGCAAAATTTTCCTCTGCCTAAATGATGACAAAGATGACTTAATGGATAAGGGCAAGCACATATTGTAAAATATTTAAAAATAAAGACAGAGTTAATGAGTATAAAGATAACATTTTTAAAGGCATAAAAGACAGCATAATCTACAGTGGCAACCAGGAAAAGCTTTGGATTTAGATTTGCTTTCAAAGTCAAAGTTAAATTTCTAAAAGTAATCAACTTAACTCTTTCAAAATCTTCCAAAACAGTAAAACAAAATAAGCACCTATACCTTTATATACCTTTAAAAGCTGCCTTATCCCCAAAATGCAAGAGGATGTTATTTTAATTTTATCATTTGAGTTTTCTCTGCTTTCATTTAATGGTGGTACCCAAACTTACTCTATAAAAAATTTGAGGTTTAAGATGCAAGGGCTTAAAAATTATTTTAGGAGAAGACAATTCAAGGTGCCACAATGTTTATTTCTACATCTTCTCCTGCTTAAGATTATTAGAAAGAAAAATCTTTCCTGATTGGAAAAAAATAGCAAGCAAACTATATATACATGAAAATAACTGAATAAAGATAATATTGATCAATTCAAAAACCAGCTAGATTTCTCAAAGATGTTCCAGATTTACAAATCTGAAAATGTATTTTTCTTACTAATTTAGAGCAGGGGTCAACAAACTATAGCCCACCTACAAAAATCAAGTCTTCTGCTATTTTTGTAAATCAATTTTTACAGAACACAGCCATACTCACTATTCATATATGATTTATGATTAATTTCTTGCTAAAGGACAGAGTTGAACAATTGCTACAGAGACCCTGTAGCCCAAAAAGTCCAAAATACATCCATATGACCCTTTACAGAAAGTTTGCTGACTACTGACTTATGAATAGGAGTAAAAATTAAAACCATAAAGAAAATCTTCAAATTATTTACAAAATGTTAGTTTTAAGATCAAACTAAAGGTTATGAAATTCTACATATATTGCATAATACCTATATAATCTTCAGCAAAGACACTCTTGAAAATACTGAGTTGTAATACTCAATACAAGATATTTTTCAGTAGACTTACCTAATATTTTTGTCATTGTTCAATAAGAAACGACCCAGGATATTTATGGCTAAAACCTAAAAAAAAAGCAAAAGTTAAAAATCTAGAAAATTGAAACATTCACATTGTTTCCTGATACTAAAGGATCACTTCTTGGTCCCTGGTAGGGGACCAAATTATTTAAAAGTGACAGCTTGTACCTATAGACTACTAGAACAAATATATCTAAGGGTAAACTCTTAATATCATATTCTATTTCAACAGTAGCTGTTGGAAGATTCAGTTTTAAGGTTTTAATATTGTTAGTAGAAAAATATCATTGGTATGGTCCCTTTGGAGAACAACCTGGCAAAAATTATAAATATTTAAAATAAAAATCTAGTAAACACTTATTCTTGTGGAATGTTTCCAAATTCTAGAATAAAAATAAAAATAAAACCAATTGAGATTAAAAAAAAAAGAAAAGAAAAGAAAAACCAAAGTCCTCTGCTTCAACAATTTCAATTCTAAGGTAGGTGCAGTGTTGCACACCTATAATTCCAGTTACTCAGGAGGCTTAGGCAAGAGGGACTCAAGTTCAAGGACAGCGCCTTCAACTTAGTGAGATGCAATCCCAAAATAAAAAGGGCTGGAGATGTAGCTCAGTGATAGAGCACACCCTGGGTTGAATTATTACCAATACCAGAAAAAGTAAAAAATTCAATTCTAGGAATTTATCTGACAAACAATTGTACATATGTATAAAAGTCTGTTGCAGCACTACCAGCATATCACAATGATGGGAGACATCCTAAATGTGCATTACTAGCAAATCTGCTAAATATACTACTAACAGCTATACAATGGAATCCTAAGCAGTCATTAAAAAGAATGAATTCAGATCAAGGTACAACAAGGATAACCTTAAAGACATCAAGCTAAGTGAAATAAAATAAATAGAAAAGAACAAATACTATTATGATTACACCTACATAAAATATTATGACATTGTAAAATATATTTGGTCTTTGTCCTCATTGCCTGGAACACAACTCCTAAATCCCTTGGAATTTATTGGGTCATGTTAACACCTTTAGTTCTAGTGAAGTGATTTTTAATAGGCTCCTAGATAACCTCAAGATAGGGTTGGTTTGCCATAGAAACCCCAGCGTTGTAGTATTCAGTCTCATGCCCAGAATCTAGGGATGGCAGGGGTGCTAAAGGTCATGCTGATGACCAACTGCCAGTGATCTAATTAAGTGTGCCTACATAATGAGGCCTCCATAAAAACTCAAAAGGACAGGGTTCCTAGGAATTTCTGGACAGATAAACACATAAGAATTTCCTGAAGAGCATCATACATGTAGAAAGCACAGAAGCCCCCAATCATTCTCACATATCTTGCCTTATAAATCTCTCCCACCCGTAGCCTTTTCAATATCCTTTATAACAAATTGATATACATAAGTAAAATGTTTCCCTTTGTTCTAAGATACTCTAGTAAATTAATCAAACAAGAGTAGGGATGATATAAGAACCTAGATTTACAGATGTTTAGTTAAAGCACAGGTCATCAACACTTGTGATTGGCATGTGAAACGGGACATAGTATTGTGAGACTTTACCCTTATCCTGTGGGATATGACACTACCTCCAAGTGATATTGCAAGAAGTAAATTAAAGTGGAAGACATTCAAGTAGTATCTGCTGGAGAATCACTCGTTGTATGAGTAACATTCCTACACATCTGGTGTCGAAAATTAAATGTTGAGCCAGGTACGGTGGCACACGCATGTAATCCCAGAGGCACCAGAGGCTCAGACGGAGAACTTCGAGTTCAAAGCCAGCCTCAGCAACGGCGAGGCACTAAGCAACACAGTGAGGCCCTGTCTCTCAATAAATTACAAAATAGGGCTGGGGATGTGGCTTAGTGGTTGAGTGCCCCTAAATTCAATCCCCAGTACCAAAAAAAAAAAAAATTAAGTGTTGAGAAATATGTGAGAAGAGGAGCTATAAAACACTTTTCCCCCCCCATAACTTTTCAGAGGTACCTGAAGTAATCAAATTCACAGAGCAAAAAAACAGAAAGGTAGATGCCAGGGATTTGAGGTAGTATAGAATAAACAGTTATTGTTTAATGGAGACAGAGTTTGGGAAAATGATAAGAAGTTCTGGGGGAAAATGGTGGTACAAGCTACACAAAGGTATTAATGCCAATAAACTATATATATTTAAAAATGATAAATTTTATGTTACATATATTTTATCACAATTGAGAAAAAAAAAATAAGACTGGTCTCCAGACATCAATATGGAATGAACTACAAAATAATGTGAGCTGAACAAAGGAAGACATAGAGCAATACCCAAGATATGTTACAATCCTGTCTGAAAAGAAGGAAAAAACTTAACCCAAGTTGCTTTGGTGATATGACTGGCTATTGTAAAGATACTATATTCTGGTTAGTAAATCTGTTTCTTTTAAGGCTTTGGGTTATCAACTCTAATATTAATAAATAAATGACTGAATTAATAAATACATTTGGGAGAAGGGACAACTTCTCTTTACAGAACTCCAATTATTTAATAAAGGAAAAAATGAAGGATATAGAAAACTACCATTAAAACACTATCCTCATATTACTGCAAGCAAGATCCCCAGATGGGTATCAAAACTGATGGGCAAAAGTCTGTAAACAGAAAATTTACAGTTTCCAAGTGTTTCCCCCTCAAATATTCTTAATTACAAGGAAAAAACAGTAACTTTACAGTGAGGAGACCCAGCAATCACCACCTTAACCAAATGATCAATGATCACAAAATATATTAACCTCACAAATATATTTTATATAACATATATATATACACACACACACATATATATATATATACATACACACAATATATATGTATGCACTTCCTGATACAATCAAATGAGAAGGGGACATCATTTTTGTAATAGTTTTGCCAAAAAAGAAAAAGCATAATCTTATTCTACAAAATTACAAAAAAATATCAGAAAGATTCAAATTGAGGCATATTCTACAAGGTAACTTATCAGTATTTTTCAAAAGTCAAATTCGTGAAACAAAGAAAAACTGAGAAAGATTAGATTAGAGGAAACTACGGAAAAAAGACAATTAAGTGCAATGTGTGATAATGGACTGGCTCCTAGAACAAAAAATAAACATCAGTAGAAAAATTAGTGAAATATTAATAAAGTTTATAATTTAATTAGTAGTATAGTATTAATATTATTAGTTTCTCAGTATTGATAATTATGCTATAATTTTGCAAGGTCTTAACTTGAAACATCCTGGGTGAAGGACATAGTGTATATTAGAACTGTGAACTATTTTTGCAACTGTAAGTCTAAAATTATTTGAAATAAAGAGTTTATTAAAGTGGAGAGAAGAAAAATGCATGCATAGACACATTTAAATATGGATAAAATGTCTAAATATACAATAGAAAATACTACCAGCATTTCCTTCTGGAAGAACTGACAGGCTACACACATGAAAGCTACAAGACAAACATTTTCTTTCCTGTGTACCTTTAGTACTGCTTACTCTATTTGTCCATTCCTTAAAAATAAAAACAAATCTATTCAGATATGTCTTGTTTGAAATTGTGGTTCTAGTAAAAGTTTATTCTGAAATGTTTCTTCGTCTTTACAATCTCAAAATATCTAACTATACCTAAGTCTTCCAGACTATTATCAATGGTAAGCCTTCAATGGGAATGATAATTCACATGCCAAAAACACAGCATTATGCATTTTTACAAAATCTCTTCCTTAAGTCTAATTCCAAATGGAATCCAGTTCCTAGATAATCAATCTAAATAAAATGTTTAGGGCAAAAAATATTTGAGACTTACTCGCAGTCCACTCTCTGATTTAATATCCATGATAGTCAAAACCGTTTCATAGAGAATAGCATTTCCTACATTTTTACTAGTCTCTGTATTAGTGGCAACCTGAAAAGACAGAGTATGGTACAAAAGTGAGAAAACAACATTTCCAGAAACTATCCAGAGGCAATGAGTTATTTTGTGATTATGGCCACCAATGAGAAAACAAAGTTGCCTCATATAGTAATCACAATCATTCCACTCCATGCTAGATGAAAATGAGTTTTTCATACAATTCAAGTTGGGTCTACTCACCTGTGCTAATATGTCATTCATAGCTTCACTTGAGTCATCATCATTTCGTCCTAAAATTCTTAATAACCGCAAAATTCGTACCTAATATGCAAAATATGGCAAGGATCAATAAATTATGCCCGGCACAAAGAAATCTTAAATTGGTATGAAATTCAAATAGTTGAAATGAAGTCTTAGACCCCATCAAAAATACTAAGTCAGAAGAATTTTAAACACTATTTTTAGAGAAACTATCCATATGCCTCTATGCCTAATGAAGTTCTTAGACAACCCATTCTTCACTGCTCCACAGCTAAAGGATACCACTTGCAGACGTATTATGTTGATAATTCAAGTGTCTAAGTAGTGAATAATTCTGACTATTAAAATTGTAGTTTTATTCTATTAAAGTAATAAAATGAAGAACTGTGTCCCTGTTCATTATTATAGTTAGCTTAATTATCTAATTTCTACCAAATACAAATTTAAGGGGAAGAAAATAGCCTATCCAAAATATATTAAGTTCACATGATATTTATTCAAAATGTTTTATCAACCTCACCTGCAAAAAGGGGTCACTGATACCAGAAACATCATGTTCTGGGGAATATCCGGACATGATGAGGTTCTTTAGAATACGAACTAATTGGGGCACAAGCTGCAGAAAAGAGAGATGCATCAAAAACAAAACAAAGACAAAACAGTGAATACCTAAGAATTTCTCTTGAATAAGCAAGTCCTTTGGTTCAAAAAAGGATGCAAGGGTCTGAGTACAGGAAATTCTATTGATACAAATATGGTGCTATATTAATGTTTGAAAAATATAAAGTGGAGTTCTTAGGCCAAAAACTCAAGAAATACTATATATTTTGTCAAAATAAAACAAACCAGACTTTTTTACTCCAGAATTAAATATGCAAAGATATTACAAATAATGATGGATCCAAAAGCCTATTGGAATCAAGTAAAACATATGCCTGTACACTGAATTTTTACTTCTGTACAACCTGACACATATGGTTGGAAAAAATGTTAGATACTTCCCAAAGGTCTGCTTTTTTATCCATTCAAATATTTGAATATAAAATGCTATCACAACAAAATATAACTGGTTATTAAAATTACGGCCTTAAAGCCTACCACCTCAAAAAGAGAAAACGTTTCTCTCCTCTTAAGATGGAGCGAGTTATGTCCTCTTGAAACAAACAGGAAACACCAAAGCCATCAACATTAACTAAGTGAAATAACACATGAAGAAAATATACCTTTTGCCTTAAGAAAATACAAAGTTATAAATAATTTCCGCTCCCTCTTCTTAATTCACATGACACAACTTCGTTGCAAATTAATATCAGCACTTATCTATACACACTTCTTTGTGGCCTGTTTTTTATTTTATCAATGAGACTACACATTCCTAATGGTGAGGTGCTCCCTTGTCCATTAGAGTCATATAGAAAAGGCAATGTTATTGCCACACTGAATTTAATAGATGCTTTCTTTATATATTGACATGCATTTCACTTCTGTTGATAATTACTTGATGTTAAAACTCTACTCCAAAAGGTTCACCACAATCAACTTCCCTATCTCCAATTAAAAACTCAAGTTATGTAAACAACTCTATTGGCCTAAAATTGAATAAAGAAGTATCCAAAGTGAAACACACTACATCTTTTTGTAGTCTATCTAAATAGTTCCAACTTTGCTATAACTCAATTTTATTTTTTTCACATTGTAATTAGACTCTGTTCCCTCAATACTCTTCAAGCTTCAAAGAGGGCTGAAATTAATATAAAAATCCAACCTATACTCAAGGCATGCACTCAAAACATTAAGGCCACTTCTAAATGCAAGAGAACACAATCTCTGTGAATTTAAGTAAGTTTGTCCATAATACCTCAGAATTTAGTGAGTCATTAAGTCACCTAATCAAAAATCTAATTTGGACAACTTCAAGAATAAGACAAGATTAAACAATGGAGATGTGTAAATTCTAAACAAATCCTCTTTAAATCTGTCAACTGTGGGAAAACTGTGTAGAGATAAGCAGCTCACCTTGCATACTTCCCAAAGGTCTGCTTTTTTATTTTTTAGTACTATACATAACCCTAATTACTTTTCAAATCTGGTTTAGTTCTTGGAGAAGTCCTTTTTCCTTGGGCTACTAAACTGTTTTATTAACATAAGGCCAGCACATCACATATGATTACCCTGGGACAGAAAGCACAAATGTCTAGATGTTCAGCATACAAATTCTTGTAATTCAGATTTAATTTCAGACAAAAATACAAGTTACTAAAACTGATGACAGGACAAACAAAATAAAATGACAAAGGGTAAGGCTGCAGCCATGAAAATCAGTTGATGCCCACCTACTGTACCTCTAAATCCTTTTAATATTCCAAACATCTAGGCAAGATTATGTCCAGGTAAGAAGAAAATAAAATCTCTAAGTCTGAACTGAAAGCTGAGTAGCATTCTCAGAGCTTTTTAAAGTATGAGGTTACCCACACATGGCTCTGAAATATCTAATGCAAAGAGAAGCAATGTTTGTGTCCAGGCTCCAGACTGATCTGGAATTGCTATCACCAAAGTGACCAGGAAACCGTTCAAAGTTTCTCAAGTATAGATCAAGGAAAGGCAGAGGAGAGGGCATACAATTCAAGAAAGGCTGCAACTGAAATCCAAGGCTGACTCTGGAGTCAGGAGTTTAAATGACAAGACGAAAACTGGACTGGGGAGTTAGCAAAAAACACTAGAACAAATAATCCACAGTATTAAGCACAGCTTCAGCATTAGTATAATTTAAAAGCCACATCTGTGGATGGATACACAAAAGCTTCTAAGGACCTAATGCCAGCATGCACCATCTAAAAGAGTGTTAATTCTTACCTTTTCATTCTAACATACAGCAGGATTCCGAACAGACAACAGGAACAAAACATATAAAGCAAGCATTAGGGACAGATATGGGTCTCATACTATTTTACAATAATTTTATCAAGACATGAACATCTAAAGGGGAGGAAAAGCAAAAAAAAAATTTAAAAAATCTGCTATTACATCTAAAATGCAAAATGAGCCCCATTCATGGAGGGATCAGCATCCTATAAAAGAAATTAAATATATGTAATTACTCAAAGAACAAACTTTCTTTGAGTCTTCCTGCCTACTGCCTTCTAAATGAAGTACAGAAATAAAACTGTCCACTTTAAAATGCTAGTAAAGAAGGAAGGGGGGAACTTAAGAAAGCTAGGACTTCAGGGCTGGGGTTGTAGCTCGGTGGTAGAGCGCTTGCCTAGCACATGTAAGGCACTAGGTTCAATCCTCAGCACCACATAAATAAATACATAAACAGATAGATAGATAAGTAAATAAAATAAAGGTATTGTGTCCATCTATTTAAAAAAAGAAAGAAAGAAAAGGTAGGACTTCCATCACAGGAGTCAATGGCTTAAAGTGAACATTGGGTAATTAAAAAAAAAAAAATCAAATTTTGGTTTGCAGTTTTCACCTTTAAAAGAAAGAAAACTATCTGCCTTTAAAAAAAATCTACTTTTTAATGTGACCTCAGGTTACATTTCCTGACTCAATGTGGAAACAGCAAATAAAACACTTACTATGTCTGCCAACAAGAATTCTCTTGGAAAAGGAAAACACTGTATTAGTGCCAGTTCTTATATACCTAAATCTGGCTTCCAGCCCTACAACACAGCAGGGCTAGTTAAATCCATTATTCAGCTCCATAGCTTGCTTTCAAAAGAAAGCTGTAAGTGATAAAATCATGTACTTTTCAGGAAATCACTTTCCAGTCAAGAAAGGCTTAGGCATACAGAATGGCACCTACCTTTCTGAAATGTGCAAGCATATCTGGGCTGCGCTCACACATTTCTGTGAGAAGGACTACAGATGTGTGAAGGACACCTGAAAGAAAAGAGCAAAGGAAAACTAAAAGTAAGCCTCTATGACCCAACTTTGTAGAATAGGGCTTTGGTTCCTGAAGATCAATTCCAAACGGATAGTTGCTACTTCTCCTTTTTAAATCCCTAAAGAATCTAAGCATTGTGGTGAATACAAAGGAGATACTTACTAGAAGCCTGCTGATTGAATACTGGTGAAGTCAGTCAAATCAGAGTATCTTTAACAACTATGTGACCAAAATAATTATTTAAAAATGACAACAATACACCTTTCCATTTAAGAATATCCACAAGGACATGTTCATAGTCAATGTGTTCTAGACCTCTTCTATTCCATACTTACTCAAAAAACTATTAGCTGAGTTCTGACAGCTTAAAAGACAAAAATCTTATTAAATTTTCTGAAAAAAATATCAAAACTCCAAGATAATAATGAATGACAAGATAAATTTGCTTGTTCCAAAGTCAGTAAAGAGAATCTCACAATACTTTTCACTAAGAGATAAATAAGGGACTAAAATATTCATTTGTTATACAAGTATATTTTGAGAATTCTGTGCAAAGCACTGAATTAATTAAATGAAATACACTGTAGCATTTTTTCCTCTTAGAATTTAAGACACATAAATGTTCTCTTCTTAGAATTTAGTTTCACTGACTTCAAAATAATAAAATGCTTAATTCCTAATAAGATTTACATAAAGATACCTGAGTATCCATTATAAATTCCTGTTAGAAGTAACTAACCCAAAAGATTTTTCATTTATCTCATACTCCTACTACATGACAATGAAGAAAATTACTTTTTATTATAAAACAGCCAAGAAATCAAAAGGTTTTACACATGAAAACAAAGGGTAGAATTAGTCATACATTATTCTGAATATTAACAACTTAAGAGAGGACCAGAGATGAAAGACAAAGTTTGCTATGAAGAATCAATCTAGTTATGAAACTAGTATAAGTGAGCAGAAAAGACCTTGCTAGAAACTATCTAAGCACTGTAGCAAGGCAAGTCCACCATCCTGAGACACAGGCGGTCATAGCCTTAAGTTTTTTCTCTTTCCCTTTCTCCCTTAGTACTTCATGAGTTCATCCAAATCACATTACCATGGTTCTTCTCATTCAATAAATTTTTTGTTGCTGGTAAGAACATCTCCATAAGTTCAGGAACCTTCCTGATGACATGAACAGCACACAGTGCTGCCTATAAAAAAATAAAAGGACAAAAAATTTATTTCAGGTAAGCCAAGGCAACCAATCTTATAAAAACAACAAAAAAAAAACTGCACCAACTAGTTCATCTGCTAGAAAAATAAAGAAGAAAGTTTATTGTTTATTTATTAACTTGTTGGAGCTTTCCAGTTCATACTATTGCATTAATGAAGAACTTCTAGCTCACCTGCTGTTCCTCTATTCATATATTGCTAGACAACTGGGTAAAAACTTCCTAAATTAGACCATGGTTAATATGAATTTATCAAAAATTAAACAGAACGTATGCAGAGTTCTGGGGAAGCAAAAAAAATCAGATAAAGACTTCCATTTCTGATACTCATTCCTCTGAATAAGAAAACCAATAGATATAAATACATCATGAAACTGAAGGATATAAACTGCAAATGCTTTAAATCTGCTGTTAATTTTAACAGCATCTATACTGACTACAACCAACACTGCCAACTTTAAAATCACCTAAGTGGGATACGGACCTAGCTCAGTGGGAGAGCACACAGGTACAAGAGCCTAAATTGAATCCCCAGTACAAGAAAGGAAAAAGGGAGAAGGGAGGAAGAAAGAAAGAAAATAATTTGAAATATACTTAACTAGTCTTCACTAAAGAAAAGATTGTCTTATTAGAAAGAAAAGTACATTTAAAGATCAATTTTCAGGCTGGGGTTGTGGCTCAGTAGTACAGCGCTTGCCTAGCATGTGTGAGGCACTGGGTTCGATTCTCAGCATCACATATAAATAAATAAAGGTCCACCAACAACTAATAAAATATTTTTTTAAATAAATAAATAAATAAAATAAAGGTCGATTTTGTGCCAGGCGCAGTGGTGCACGCCTATAATCCCAGCTGCTCTGGAGGCTGAAGACAGGAAGATTGCAAGTTCAAAACCAGCCTCAGCAACAGTGAGGTGCTAAGCAACTCATTGAGATCCCTGTCTCTAAATAAAATACAAAATAGGGCTGGGGATGTGGCCCAGTGGTTGAGTGACCCTGAGTTCAACCCCAGTACCCACCCCCCCAAAAAAAAGACCAATTTTATTTATCCACCCCAAAGTAACCACAGCTATTATTTGAGTCAAAAACCTTAAAAGTTTAGACAGATTAACAAGATTTCTGTTCATTCCCCCCATGGTGAATTGTGGGGAAGGGGCAGCTAATCCAAAGGAATATTTTATTTAATGCAACAATGTGCCTTATAAGAGTAGCTCACATAGTTCAAAAAAAAGTACTGGCTTACAAATTAAGGAAAGAATTAAACTCTGCATTTTAGAAGTAGCAAGAGACATCACATTGGAGGTATTCTCAATAAGATCCTCAATTACCAGCTGACTTATCATCAGAAACTAAAGAGGACAAAAGACAGTGGAATGACATATTTAAAGTACTGAAATAGGGCTGGGGATGTGGCTCAAGTGGTAATAGCGCTTGCCTAGCATGCATGAAGCACTGGGTTTGAGTCTCAGCACCACATAGAAACAAAATATATTGTGTTCACCTAAAACTTAAAAATAAATATTTAGAAAAAAAATAAAGTACTGAAATAAAGACTGTGTACCAAGAATTGTATTTCCAGCAAAACTGTCCTTTCAAAAGGAGAGGAACAGGGATGCATCTCAGTGGTAGAGCAGCTGCCTCCCATGTGCAAAACTCTGCTGCATTGCTTTCCAGAATGGCTGAGAAAGGCACAGTAATGCACAAGCATTTCCTTTTCTCTTCTCTTTTGTAAATGCCAAATGGCAAATTTTTAATTCGGTAATTCTTTCTATATTTATTAAATGATATTGCACATTAAGTAACAGCTTTTCAATTTGCATCTGTTTATTTATCAGTATAGGCTTATCGAGTTCCATTTTACTCAGGGGATTAAAATCAATTGCAATCATTGTTTTATGTTTGCTCAATTTGTACCAAGATAGAAGTCCCAGAACGAAAGGAAGGAAGGGAGGGAGGGACCAACGAACAAACCAACAAACTTTGTTGGCAGCCATCATTAAAGGTATATCATTGAAATGGCTTGGCCCTTTCATTGCTTCTTTCTCACACCATTAAAAAAGAGGCACAGTGCCAGTCACAGTGGCACGTGCATGTAATCCAAGGAACTCGAGAGACTGAGACATGAGCATTGCAAGTTTAAGACCCACCTCAGCAACTTAGTGAGGCCCTAAGCAACTTGGTAAGACACTGTCTCAAAATAAAAAACAAAAAAAGACGAGGGATGTAATTCAGTGGCAAAGACCCAGTAATAAGTAAGTAAATAAATAAATAAATAAAACAAAGAAAGAGAAACGAAAAAAAAAAGGCACAGTAAATGCCAACCAGATGATGATAGGTGTTCATTTCATGGACTTTTAAATTCCATACATTTTGTTTACAAAAGCTTTTGGATTGAAGTATAATTTAAAAACTCAACAAAATGTTTATATCAACAAATGAGAGCAGATAAATTAAGAAAACAGGAATAAGTCTCTTCTATTCTCATCAGATATACCAATTTTAGAAAGTGAGTTCTACATCATTCCCTCAAGGAAACTGCCATTCCAGAGATAAAGGCGCTCAAAGACATGAGCACTAATAGTATTAAGAGTTGATTCATGAGCTGGGAGTGTGGCTGTGGCTTAGCGGCAGAGTGTTAGCCTAGCATGCACAGGCCCAGGTTCAATCCCCAGCACAAGAGAAAAAAATTAATTCATAAAGACCTGCCTGTTATCAATTTGTTTTAATATTGTTTAAATTATTTAGGAATTGATATGCCACCTAGGATATCTAATACATTTGCTTGTTTATAAATAATTTCCTAGAAAAATGTGGAATTAAGATTCACATGTAGCCATTTGAAATATATTTTCTGCAGAGAGAAATACTTTATATCATATGAACTTTCAAAATAGTAATCTGCTTTCTAATCCATATTAGTTTCATTAAAAGTTACCTTTTTCCTTAAGTAAGAGTTGGAGGTTTTCAGGAGCTTCTCTACCTCTCCTGCAAGATCTCTGCACATCTCTGAGGAGCCCATGCAGCCAAGGGTACAAAGTGCTAGCCCCTGCACAAACTGTGTGCTATGATTAAGATCACTACAAAAGAGAGAAAGGAGGGAGAAACAAACACACTTTACCTAGTGCTCCCATGAACAAACTTCACAATTCAGTGAACAAGTGTAGAATGATTCAAGATTTCTCCAATAATAAAAATGACTAGCAGGAGTAATTAGAAGGAAAATGTTTCATCCAACTTTATTACAAATTAGTAGTACAGTGAGCTGAATGACAGTCCCTCCTATAAATTTACACCCAAAGTTTCCAAATACTTAAGTAGTAGAAATTGAACAACATGGGCTGGGGTTGTGGCTCAGAGGTAGAGTGCTCATCTACCATGCATGAGGCACTGGGTTCGATCCTCAAAACCACATAAAAATAAAGATATTGTTAAAAAAAAAGAAAGAATGAAGAAATTGGGCAACATGTTATCTGACAGATGTGAAAGACATCCACATTAGAAAATTTAGCAAACCAATGGAAATAAAAACTAGCAACAATAAAAATATGGAACAAAAGTGTTTTAAGAGATGTTTAAATGATCTACTACAAACTATAAGAAAAATCAGAAAAACAATCTCTACCATAAGAGCATACACAATAGAAATTGTTAGCCTCTACAACCTTTGATCTTATGCTTTAGTATTAACTTTTAAGTTATATTAAATAATTTTTAACATTTTATTCAAAAAAATAATTATCAGTATCATGATAAAAAAATAAGCTAATAAAGCCACTTTTAATAAACTAAGCCATATATTTTCAGTGAGCCCCTATATCTGACTGTGCACATACAGATGCTGATTACTTGGTTTCAGTGTGCCCCTCTCCAAGGTTCATGTATTAAAAACTTGGTCCCCAGTATGTGGATATGAGAGACAGTAATAAGTTTTTAGAAGAAGAACTTACTGAGAAGTCATTGGAAACTGATCTTGAAGAGTAAGCTAGTAGTTTCCATGACAGTGAATTGTTGTAACAGAGCCAGATTGGCCCTCCCCTTTCTCTGGCTTCCTGTCTCATCATGTGCTCTCTCCCTCTCTCATGTATGTGTTACCACCATCATGGTGATGTCAACTAAGTGGCTCTTACTAGAAACCAAACAAATTAGAAAAAATGGAAGGAAAGAAGGAAGGAAGAAATGGAAGGAAGAAAGGAAGGAAGGGAGGGAGGGAGGGAAGGAAGGAAGGAAGGAAGGAAAAGAAGGAAGAAAGAAAAGGAAGAAAGAAGGGAGGGAGGGAGGGAAGATAAAATATTCAAAGCATGAACAGGTAAACTTGTCTGATTAGTATAATCCTTCTTGTTATCCAGAAGCTGAATTATCCTTTGGGTTATGCTACAAGCTTTCAGAGTATTTCAGTATCCTTTAGCCCAGCATGGTTCAAAGGGTCTCTGGAAGACATTAAGACTTTCATAGAAAGTCCATGTGATCCAAACTATTTTCATAATCTTAACACATAATTTTTCTATAATCCTAACAAATTATTATTACTATATTGACATTCTGACAACTGATGGTGCAAAAGGAATGGTGCTCATTAGAACAAATCAAAGGAAGGACACCAAACTCTACTCGTAGTCACCATATTCAAAGCAAACTTTCATTATTAAGCAATAAAAACTGCTGAACACTATGATGCCCTAAAATACAAACAAACTCACCAAAAACAAAAATCACACATTCATTAGCAGATTAAAAGAAATAACAGGTCAAGCACGGTAGCACATACCTGTAATCCCAACAACTCAGGAGGCTGAAGCAGGAGGATCACAAGTTCAAGGCTAGCCTCAGCAACTTATTCAAGCCCTAAGCAACCTAGTGAGATGTTTTTTGTTTGTTTTATACTAGGGATTAAACTCAACCATTGAGCCACATCCCCAGCCCTATTTTGTATTTTATTTAGAGACAGGTTCTCACTGAGTTGCTTAGCACCTAGCTCTTGCTGAGGCTGGCTTTGAACTTGCAATCCTCCTGCCTCAGCCTCTCGAGTTCTTGGATTACAGGTGTACGCATCCAGCCCTAATGAGATCCTGTCTCAAAATAAAAAAATAAAGACTGGGGATGTAGTTCAGTGGTAAAGCACCTCTGGGTTCAATCCCAGTACCAAAAAGAAAGAAAGAGAAGAACAGAATGATCTAAACCATGGAATAAAGTGGTTGATCAATTCTCAATTGTTTGAAAAAGTAATAAAATTCACTTAGGGCTTGGCTAGTGCTTATTAAAACTAAACACAGATATATTCTTTACTTATGTGCCTCATTCAATTTTTATCAAGCTGCAAACCTACACTTAGGTTTGGTATTAACTATAATATGAACTTGCTACCAGCCAGAACTGCCAAATTAGCATGTGACTGAAAGTGTGAGTTATAAGGGCAACAGAGCATGCAAGAAAATTAAAGCAACTCTCTTAGAGGGCTATCTAAAGTAAATGTATAAAGGGATCATGCTGAACATCTAAAATGTACCCTCCATGACATCAAGGATTTCTGACCATTTTTTTCACTCTCTATTCCAGTGCTTACAATAAAGTTGAATAAATCAATCAACTTAGTATTTTCATTATTAATGAAAGTTAAGTTTACAGACTTGCTATATAAAATGGGCTAGAGACATGGCTCAGGGGCTAAGTACCCCTGGGTTTAATCCCTGGTATAAAAAAAAAAGCTACATATTAAAAACTCATAGGGATAAATACAATTCCATAGGGATAAATACAATTCCATGCAACTGATCTCAGATGAACTAGACCACACTCTCTTTTTACCTTTAAAACATATTTACTCAGAATATGCGCTAGTAATTTTTTTTCACTAGTAATTTTTAATACATATAAAATTTCATTATTCATGGTACTTTAAGTCCAAGAAACTTAAGAATGACCAGATATCACCAACGCTTTTTTTCTCTAAAAGTTCAAATGTTCATTTCATTGCAACATATTCTTATACCTGAAGATGCACAATACCTTCATTTTCCTTTGCTCATTAGCCTCTTTACATATTAAGCTACTGAACCAAGAGCAATTCAAATACATTCTATAAATTAAATATAAAATAAGTAAATAAAACCTCTTGATGTTTTATTGTAAGAAATCCCTAAAAAAGGCAAAGCAGTTGTAAGGAGGGAAGACTTACTTTTTGATACAGTTGGTCATAAGAAGATGGACATCTTGTCTTTCATCTAGTAGCAGCATTGCTCCTAAATAGCCAATGCGTTTGTCTGTAAATTTCTGAGAGGCAATAAGCTTTAGGCACTCCAACTGCAAAAAAATAAAAAGAAAATGAAATTAAGACCTTGCTGTCTGCTGTCACAATCTAAAAAAGTAATGCATTTAATCCACAGCCACAGATGACACAGAAGTATAAACCTGTATCGTCAACGCTGTCTAAATAAAAAGGCAAAGAGTTAAAACCTTTGGATATCTTAATATTAGTATTAAGTTCTGGAACAGATTATATTGTCAAGATCTCGTAACACCTAGCATTTAAAAAATCTGTAAGTTTTAACTTAGTTCTACATATTCATACAAACTAGTCAAGTATTATATTAATATATCAAATTTCTAATCTAATCCCTCGCTTATATTAAATGAACACCTAATTCATACATTTAAGGCTTGGTCTATTTTGAAAATCAAAACACTCAATAACTGGAAATACATCTAAGTACCAAACAGTATCCAAAACATCAAGAATGTACAATTAATTGAAGAAAGACAATAACTAAATTTATGTGGAAAGTGCCTCATTTAGAGCTTAACCAAAGTATTATGAGACAGGTGAGGGTTTAAGAATCAAATATAGAAAAAAAAAAAAAAATCCAAAGGAAAACTCAGTAGTAACATTAACCTAAAATGTTCTACATTTACTCTTTATGTAATTGTCAGAAATAACCCCTTAGGGCTTAAGACTCCTTGTAGTTAAACTTGGACTTTCTTGAAAGTCACAATCACTTTGATATACTTTATCATTCCATCTTGACGAAACGGGAAAGGTCAAAACATTCCCGCTGGAACAGTGGTTTTCAAAGGGCATAGGCAAGTCAGATTCTCCAAGTCAAGTTTTCAAAACTATGTTCCCCTTTAGAACCATGCATTCTAAGGAAAGGGGCTCCAATGGAGACTTGGGTACACAGGAAGCTAAGATCATGTCAGATTATTTTCCATTACAAATTTATCTAGTAAGTTCAGAAGTGAAATTGAGGGACATAAAACAGTTACACAAATAGAATTGTTTTGAGCTATTTAAAAACTGCTCTTCAATGTACCTGCATTTTTAAGAAAATACCAACAGTTAGTTGACTATCATGAGTACACCAAAGTCTCCAAAGGAGACTGACAGAATTATGAATATAAAAGTTATCTCTGAAAGGATATTCACAAAACTGATACCACCAGTTGTTCATAAAGAAACTAAGTGATGGAATGAAAAAGAACAGAAAGGATAGTCTTCATCATAAATCCTTCTGTATCTTTTTATTTTTAATATTTTTTTTATAGTTTTAGGTAGACACAATATCTTTATTTTTTTATGTGGTGCTAAGGATCGAACCCAGTGCCTCACGCATGCCAGGCGAGCGCTACCACTTGAGCCACATCCCAAGCCCCTCCTTCTGTATCTTTTAAATTTTCAATCAATTAACTATCATTATCTATAGGATAGTCTTCATCATAAATCCTTCTGTAGCTTTTAAATTTTGAATCAATTAATTATCATTATCTTTTCCAAAGAAAAATAAGAGTGGATTAGGAGAAAAAATTAAAATACAAACTGCAGGATGAAGTAATATAATTACTTAGGGAAACTGTTTCCAACTCCAAAGTTGAACATCATATATTTCAAAAAAATAACCAAAAAAAAGTATTTGAGTCTCATTAGTTTTATGGAAAACTTTTAAAATTGAACACTAGAATCTTATAAAAATATAAGTCCAGCCAGATACAGTGGCACATGCCTGTAATTTCAGTGGCTTGGGAAGCTGAAACAGGAGGATTTCGAGTACGAAGCCAGCCTCAGAAATGGCGAGGTGCTAAGCAACTAAATGAAATCCTGTCTCTAAATAAAATACAAAATAAGGCTGGGGATGAGGCTCAGTAGCTGAATGCACCTGAGTTCAATCCCTGGTAACCATCCCCCAAAAAATAAGTCCAGTAAATATCAGCCCTTCTTGAATAACTTATATTCATAAAGAACAATAATTGTGGTATTCAATTTTTGTGGACCCTATAGGAGCTTACTGAAAATTATGTTTGTTTCTAATCTCTAATGGGTTCTCCACAATGGCTGTTTTCTCCTGCTGCCAGTTATCTTACATTATTCTTCTTTTATCAATTTCTCCTTTGCCAGGCCAGGGTTGTGGCTCAGTGGTAGAGCACTTGCCTAGCATGCATGAGGCACTGGGTTCGATCCCCAGCACCACATAAAAATGAAAACAAATAAAATAAAGGTATTGTGTCCATCTACAATTAAAAAATTTTTTTTTTAATTTCTCCTTTGTCAACACCACTTTTAACTTCTATCTTACTATTCTTGCTTTTTCATAGCAACCTTCTCACCTCTCCCTACCTTTCATCTAAAAGGACCGTTAGTGATCTATTTCCTACTCGGATTTTTTATATTTTCTTCCAATTGTGAGGCTGTTTTGAGGTGCTTGACCTCTATATAGGCATTTTGCTTTAATTTGGTAAACTCCATGTATCAACCAACACTCTCACTGATACACAGTTTAAAGGCTATATAAGAAAACCAACATTTACAAGAAATAAAATATACACATGACACAGTTATACACAAGTTATGAAAACAATTAGGAAGAGCACCCAATTCAGGTCAGGAAAAGAAAGAAAACATCAGAGAAAGGCTCCTATCTCTTTACATAACACATCATGGAATAGAAAGAAATTAATCTACATTAGGAGCAGGACCTCTATCTTCCTGATTCTACCTAGAAACTTTAAGCTGTTTTAACAGCCTGGCGCTAGTTTACGTAACTGAGCCACACAGAAGGACAGAAATTAAGAGTCATACCTCCACACCCTGCCTTTCCTTCAAAGAAAAAAAGTCACTCATTTTTTGCAGGCAAGCCTTGAAGTGGCCTCAGAATTCTATTCAGCAGAAACAAGACAAGTCAGCCACTAGCAATAAGCCTAAGAGACTAAAGCTATCAGCCCCTTTGGGAACAAAAGGGCTTAGAAGTGGTTCCCAAACCAGACTGCTCAGAATCACCTGCAAGAGGTTTTTGGGGTTTTGTTTGTTTGTTTATTTGTTTGTTTCCATGATCCATCTTTCCATTTACTTTTTAAAATTTTTTATTTGTTTTAATTAGTTATACATGACAGTAGAATGCACTTATATACTTTGATATATCATACATAGATAGGATATAATTTCTCATTTTTCTGAGTTATACATATTGTGGAATCATATTGGTCATACAGTCACATATATAAAGTAATAATGTCTGTTTCATTCTACTATCTTTCTTATCCCCACATCCCCTGCCTTCCCCTCCTTTCACTTCCCTCTACCTAATCTAACGTAAAGCTATGCTTTGTTTTGTTTTTTCCTTTACACATGTACTTTGTTTTGGGGGGTTTTGGCATTACAATTCTTAATACACATATATACCACAATTTTTGTATCTCTGTTTGTATATAAAGTATGTTGACACCTAATTCAAGTCTTCATACATGTACTTTGTATAATAATGTCCATCATATTCCACCATCCTTGCTAATCCCCTGACCCCTCCTTTTCCCTCCCACCCCATCTGAGAGTTTTGGAACATATGTCACTCCCAGGAAATTCTAATGGAGTAGATTTAAGATAGAGACTGACGATTTAATTTTTACATTTTTTTCCTAGATAATTTTGCATGTTCTAATTTTTTTTAATCTCAAATCAATTTTTAGAAAAAGAACTTTTAAAGGTTTCTGGCCTTGTTAAATTTTCCCAAAGTACAAATGTTGCCTTTTATCAATGTTTAATCTGTTGGGGGGGTGCTGTACCCATTCTGTTAGCTATTAGAAATTTCACACAAGGTCAAATGCACATCTGCATTTGCTTTTAAATTTAACAATGGAGCTTTATGATGTAAACAATCTACAAGTGACTGGTTAGATCTTTTCAAAAGCTTTTACTTTACCTTTAATATTCAGAAATAACTTTCTAGTTTATACGGACATATACACACTTTTGAAAAACAAACTTGTTATAACTGTTTTACCACTATACAGCGTGGCAATGTAAGATCTATGTGGATTATCCCCTGCTGTTTCATTCTTCTAGAAAGGGGGAAAAAAATCCCCCTAAACTAACACTCCTGCTGGATCCCATTTTTTTCTCTTCAGAAAATTTATAAAATATTCTACACCAAAATCACATAACACCCGCCGACTCACCTACCAGCCTTATCAAAGCTTAAAATTTTACCCAATTTATTTTTAAAAAATTATTACAAATTCAATTGAAATCTTTTGCAGACCGTGCCTTAGTTCCATTTCCTTTCTAACCCAGAAGTATCCAAATCCCCTTATAGCTGTTCACGACTGATAATACCTTGTGTTCTTACTATACATGTGGAGACAATCGGTTTTGGATGTTTTAAACTGCACATAACTATCATATTGTATTCCTGCTCTTTTCATTCAACTTTTTTTGAGTATTATTCCAATACAAGAAGCTCTAATTCAGCTATATTCCTTGACATAGAGAGCAAGTATCCCACTTGTGAACATAAACTATTTGCTTTTAGACAAGTAGATGGTTTTCAATTTTTCACTATTAAGAAACAATGTTAGCTGGGTGAGGTGGCACACGCCTGTAATCCCAGCGGCTTGGGAGGCTAAGATGGGAAGAACAGGAGTTCAAAACTAGCCTCAGCAAAAGCGAGGCCCTACCTAAGCAACTCAGTGAGACCCTGTCTCTAAATGAAATACAAAAAAGGGCTGGGGATATGGCTCAGTAGTTAAGTGCCCCTATATTCAATCCCTGATAAAAGAAAGAAAGGAAGAAAGAAAGCTGCCATAAACACTCATATACATGTCTCTCTGCATACCAGACAAGAATTTCTTTCAGTTATAAACCTAAGGAGGCTTGATCAGACGCAGGTTTTTCAATTTTTAGTTTTTTTGTTTGATTTTGTAAAAAATATATACCTCTTTACAGGAGGTGGCATGAACTTTCATCAGCACGCATATAATTACATCTAGTAGTGCTCTTTCTCAAATACAGCAGCACCAATGAGGACTAGGTGTTGCAA